GCAGGAAGACAACTGCTTTACGGTATTTTCCAGGGCAGTAATCTTAGTGGGGGTGCAGCTGGTTAATGAGAGCATGAGGTTGAGGGTTGGAAAACTTAAGAGTCAGCTCAGCTCTGACCCCAGGCTATCAACCAAAGGAATTGGGAGAGAGAGACTTGTCAGCATAGGCTTATCATTAGTGAAAGAAGGTCTTCAGAGCACATGGCATGGAGTACTGCCTTTGAACGTGAAAAGAGTCTTACAGGATCAATACGTAGACATTAATATGGCAAGAGGGAAGAAAGCATGGATCATTAGACTGAAGTGTTTTTTCTATATGGGGTAGCTTTTAAAGGGATTTGGATTTCAGTGTGTCCTGAAGTTTTAGTACTGGTGGCAAGTCCTGTGGGCAGCACCCCTGTCTCAGAGCTGCTGGTGGAGGGGTACGCAGGGCTTCAGAGGCCAGCCATGTGTGGGGTGGACGAGACCTGAGGATGTCTGTCATAGAATCTTCCCTATGTGGGGCCATTTGCCTCTGAGTGCTAAAGCATTTTCCTCTCTGATTATGGACTTTGTGACAATATCAGGTGACCCCAGAAATTGAGAATGAATGTTTGGGGTATATTAAATTTTTTTTGTCTTTTTTTTTTTAAAGATTTTATTTATTTATTCATGAGAGACAGAGGGAGAGAGAGAGAGAAGCAGAGGGAGAAGCAGGCTCCCAAGGAGCAGGGAGCCCGATGCGGGACCCGATCCCAGGACGCTGGGATCATGACCTTGAGCTGAAGGCAGACGCTTAACCATCTGAGCCACCCAGGCGCCCGGGGTATATTAAATTTTTAATCAAATTCCCTAATAAGTCAAAAACTCTTGGCAACGAAATTAGCAAAGACTTTATGACTATTTTAGAGATTACTTTGTAAACTCTTGCATTATATAGCTATTCTGTGTTTTTCTCCGGAAAAATGCTGTACTTGAACATGTTTCTTCTTCCACTTGCTAATTTCTTGGTTCTCCCACTGGTTGGTTAATATGTTTTTCTAATAGATTAGTATTTGTTGCCCCCAGCCAGTGTGGATGTCAGACTCACTGTTTTCTTCCTTCTGCTTATTTCCCCCAATTATAAAATAATTGAGATAAGAGGAGATATACGTGGCACACGGAACTGTAGCTCATAATAAATAATTGCTATTGTTTATGTAATGCTTTACAGCATGAAATGTATCTCACCCCCTTTGAACTTTTTTTTTTTTTTAAAGACACATCTATTCAACATCGTGATCAGACTATTACATTCAGCAATCAACAGCATGGGTGCAAAAAAAAAATATATATATATATACATTAAAACCCTTTGGTGGAATGCTTTACACTTTCCACAGAACAGAAACTAAAATAACCTGTTATACAATTAGTCACAAATACAGTCCTTGAGTTTTTTGCCCATACGCATGAGTATTGTCTAAAACATGTCTTTGTAGCAGCTAGGCCCTGCCACCACTGTGCTTGGCTGAGTTCACAAATGTGTTGTAACCTGTAGCTTCCCTGTCCCTTCTCTGGCTCTCCTCTCCTGCTAAGCTTTGTTGCCTGGCAGTAATTAAAACCTCCTGTCACTGCCGTAGCTACTGCTGCTGCTGGAACCACCATAGCCACCTTGGTTTCGTGGTTTGGCAAAGTATTGGCCTCCACCACCATAGGGGCCAGAGCTTCTGCCTCCAAAATTTCCTCCTTTCATGGGTCCAGAATTTGAGGATTGATTATTGTAATTGCCAAAATTTTTATAGCTTCCGCCACCTCCAAAGTTGCTTCCATCATTACCAAATCTGTTATAGCCATCCCCACTGCCACCTTATCCACCACCACCTCGACTGCCACCAAAGCCACCTCGACCACTGAAGTTCCCTCCATGACCAAAGTTGTCATTCCCACCAAAACCACCTCCACGACCACCACCAAAGTTTCCAGAACCACTTCAACCTCTTTGGCTGGATGAAGTACTAGCCATCTCTTGTTTAGGCAGGGCTTTCCTTACTTCACAGTTGTGCCATTCACAGTATAGTATTTTTGAATGACAATCTTGTCTACAGAGTCATGGTCATCAAATGTTACGAAAGCAAAACCTCTCTTTTTGCCACTGCCTTGGTCAGTCATGATCTCAATCACTTCAATTTTCCCATACTGTTCAAAATAATCTTAGATGATGTTCTAGTGTCTTCTTTAATGCCACCAATAAAAATATTTTTCACCGTTAAGTGGGCACCAGGTCTTTGAGAATCTTCTCTTGAGACAGCCCTCTTTGGTTCCACAACACTTCCATCCACCTTGTGTGGCCTTGCGTTCATGGCTTCATCCGCCTCCTCCACAGTGGCATACGTGACAAACCCAAAGCCTCTGGAGCGCTTGGTGTTTGGATGTCTCATTACCACACAGTCCGTAAGCGTTCCCATTGCTGAAAATGGCTCCTCAGACTCTCATCGGTTGTTTCAAAGTTCAAACCTCCGATGAAGAGCTTCCACAGCTGTTCAGGCTCTTTGGGAGACTCTGACTTACACATGATGGCGGTGGGAGGGGAGACTTTAACAATGCGTCCACGGGCAGAAAAGCTCACCCCATTTGAACTTAACGAAACCCTGTGAGGTGGGTATTCTTGCTGGCCATGCTTATGAAGGAAAATACTGAAGCTTAGAGACTGAATGACAACCTTTAGGCCACAGAGCTAATTAGTGGCAGTTCAGGACCCTGGTTACAAATCTCATTTTCCCTGGTATATCTTCTGGTTTGAATTCTTTTTGATTGAATTACATTTTATTGGAAGAGAATGGAAATGTTGTTTTAAAATCACAATATGCGGTGCTCAATTTAATGGGCCTAATGAATAACTCACCATTATAATGATGCAAGTTTTCTAAGGGTTATGACTATGCAAAAAACATGTCTATTTAAAACTTTTGAAAGGATTTAATCTGTTGATCAAGTGAATATAATATGTTGCCTTTAGTTGAAAAACTTTTCTAGTTTTATTGAAATGATCTCATTCAAAGAGAGAAAGTTATCCAGAGGCACAAACTAAATAACTCTGTTTTCTGAATGCTATTTTATAGTCAAATTTTAAAAAATTTCATTTGCAAGATGTTTGTTGCCAGAGTATAAAATTGAAATTGATTTTTGCCTATAAACCTGTATTCCATGACCTTGCTAAATTCATTTCTTAGTTTTACTAGTTAGTAGTTTGTAGATTTTTAAGGATTTTCCATATAGACTATAATGTTATCAGCAAATCGAGACCATTTTACTTCTTTATTTGTGATTTTTTTTTTTTTAAGATTTTATTTATTTATTTGACAGAGAGAGACAGCGAGAGAGGGAACACAAGCAGAGGGAGTGGGAGAGGGAGAAGCAGGCTTCCTGCAGAGCAGGGAGCCCGATGTGGGGCTCCATCCCAGGACCCTGGGATCATGACCTGAGCCAAAGGCAGACGCTTAGACTGAGCCACCCAGGCGCCCCTTTATTTGTGATCTTTATGCCTTTTTCCTTTTCTTGCCTTATGCAATATATTTGCTACAATAATAGACACATATCTGAACTAATGCTGCTATAATATCCTCATTGTGATAAGACTCATTTATGTCTGGCTTATAAACCAAAGATACAGTGTTGGAGAATTTTATTAGAAATTAAAAATATATACAATCTTGAGTTATTGGAACTTAAAAATTATTTTTCATGTATTTGTAGTGAACATCAGTGCCTGTTTTGATGTTGAATTTGTGCTCTACTAAAATGTAAGGAATTTTGATAGGTGCTTGTTGGCAATTCTGATAGATTTTTTTAAAAAATTATTTTTTAAAATTATTTGGTGAGGTGAGACTGACAAGAGCTTAATAAAAATCCACTTTCGAAATTGAGGAAAGGATGACTAATTTTATTTATTTATTTATTTATTTATTTATTTATTTATTTAAGGGGGATAGGAGGAGGGACAGAGGTGGAGAATCTCAAGTCGACTCTGAGCTGAGCCTGGAGTCCAGTGTGGGGCTCGATCTCACGACCCAGAGATTATGACCTGAGTTGAAACCAAGAGTCAGACACTCAACCGATTGAGCCACCCAGGTGCCCCAAGGATGGCTAATTTTATAGGCAAATTGAGAGAAAGAGGAGAGATGAAATTGGGATAGAAACTCAAGCATCTAAAATGTGAACAATATCCTTGACTGTTCATTGTGCCAGTATGTCAGTAATTAAATAATATTTGAAATGTGGCATAGAAAGAGAAATAGCTTTAGTTTAACTGACACTTTCAAGCCGTGTGAACTTGGACAAGTGACTTATCTTTAGTTCTTTTTTTAAACTGTAAAATGGAAATAATAATAAGCAGCTTGTGGTATTGTCAGGATTAGAAATAGTATATGAGAAGCACCTGGCACATATCAGGCATGCAAAAATAAGTAGCTAGGATTGTGATAGGACTCCATCCTTTATTATTTACTCATTAAGTTATTATTGATTTATTAAACTGTCCTGTTTTATTAATGGGTACCATCACATATCTTGTGTCACCGAAGGAAGGGACGAATATCTTTGAATCGAAGAACCCCGTCCTGCTAAAAGAGTATAGAACTTTCTGTTCCTGGGGACTTGCATTCATCAGTGAAGAAGAGTGATTGATAAACCATTGCAGTGGTGGGAGTTGGATCACTGGCCAAGCTTCTTCTTTCCCTTATTGTCCTTTACCCCAGTTTGGAGAGTCAGACAAGCAGGTGGATTTCCCAGGGCCTCTGAGGCTCTTGCGACTGGGAGATTGTGGGCAGCTCTCCGGGAGCACCTGCAAGCCGGGGTTGGGGTGGGAGCTGCTGCTGTGCTTGGCTGTGGAGTCCCAGAGGGTCACCACAGGGGACGACGATGACCAGGTGGCCTTTTGCTGGGCCTTGTCTTCCTAGTTCGCCCTCCTTCCCTTCCCCTTTTTTGTATCTAAATGACTTGGCGAGGTTTGCTTGGCTAATTTTGTCATCTCTTTCTCCTAGAATTCTGAAGGTGGACTCTATGTATGCATGAATACATTTTTGGCCTTTGGAAGGGAACATGTTGAAAGACATTTTCGAAAAACTGGACAGAGTGTATACATGCACCTGAAAAGACACGTGCGAGAGGTGAGACACACGCTGGGAGAACTGGCCTTGAGATCTTTCCCGTAATGTTGTTGTGCTGTGCGTTATCACACAGCACAGAGGGTTTGTTCTGCCCGCGTGACTTCTGATGCCCTTTGATGATGGGAAACAGAAACATGACTGTTGGCAGAAATTCATAGATTTCCCCAAACCCTCCCTTACCCAGTTTAATTTTTCTCTTCCTCTGAATTTCTCATTAGTGTTAACAAGACATGAGTTGATTGAAGGAAAAAAAATTAAGTCAAAAATACAGACAAGTACACAAAATAATGTCAGAAATCCCCAAATCAGAAATAAAAAAATATTTGGATGTTTTTGCTTCAGACTTTTTTTTTTTGAGCAAGAGAGAGAGCTTTCCTGAAAGCTCAAGTCTTTTGTTTCCCTCCCCAGTAGTAACCATGGCTGCAATTTTGTTCTCATTCCTATGTATGTCATTATATTTCATTTATGTACGGATAGTCATGAACAATATGTAGAAGGACTTTATGTGTTTTTAAGATGTAGATAAATACTATCATACTGTTACCTATAATTCTGTGTAGAGCTTTCCCTTTTCACGTTGTTCTTGAAATCTGTTCGTGTTGCAATGCATCTGAATATACTTAATTCATTTTATGATTTCTTATTCCCTCTTAAGAGTACCTTGTCATTTATTATCCTGCTGTCCTACTGATGAATATTTAGATTGTTCCCATTTTTTTTTCTTTTTTGTTTCTACAAATGAGGCAACCATTAAATATCTGCAAGTGGTAATGTTGGTGTCTGGGTGTGCTTATTTTCATTTTGGTGAGGTATTGCCAAATCCTTCCCCAGTGTGGTTGCGCCGATTTATACTCCTATCTGCACTGATTATCAATTCCTGTTTTCCCACACCTTCACCAACACTTGGTCAGACTTTTGATTTTTGTCAATCTAATGGTTGCAAAGTGGCATCTAAATGATTGGCATTTCCTTCTGTGAGGGCTGGACATCTTTATATATGACTATCAGCCATCCTGGTTTTCTCTTCTCTGGTTTTCCTTTTTTCTTATGGTATGTGGCTTGACTTTTTGCTTCATTTATGAATTATTCTGTATAGAAGTTTTGAATTCGATGTTAGATTTATTAAACTTTTTTCTTATGATTTGTGCCTTTTGTATCTTATCTAAGAAATTGTTTCCCAACTCAAGGTTATAACCATATTTCTTTTAATACTTTTGTTTTTGAAGTGCATGTGTGTTTGCATGAGCATATGTGTGACATTTTTGGACTTTAATCGGTCTATAGTTTATCGTTATATTTGTGTGAAGTATGGGAATCTGTTTTTTATTTTTCTCACTGGTAACCAGTTGTCCTGCTCTTACTAGAGTAGTGCAGTCTTTTTCAATGATTTATAGTACCATCTTTTTTTTAAAATATATTTTAACTGGCCATTTGTACCTGGGGCTGTTTTGGGGCTCTCGGTTCTTTTCTGTTGATCTTATTTTTCTGTCTCTGCATTGTTGCAGCAAGCCTTGATATCTGGTAGTGCAAGCACTTTTTCCGGAACTTCCCTGGGTTTAGACATTTATTTTTCTATGTAGATTTTAGAATCAGTTCGTCTAGTTTAAAAAATCCTGTTGAGATTTTGAGCACGATCACAGTGAATTTAGAGATTAATCTATAATCTACAGCATCGGGTAAACTCCATGAGGGCAAGGATTTTTGTCTGTTTTTGTTCAGTTCTGTGTCTTCAGCACTTAACAGTCCCAGCACATAGTAGGTGCTTCATAAATATTTATTGAATGAGTATTCAAAATGACGTACCTCTCTGTTTATTCAGTTCTCTTTTGTCTCCTTCAATACTATTTTGTAATTTTCAATAAAAGAGCTTGTATTTTGTGAGATTTTTTTAGGTACTCTGTAATTTTTGTAACTGTTGTTACTGCTAATTTTTACTTCATGTATTTTAATTGGTTATTGATGACATTTGGGGATGTTATAATATTCAAATATTGACTTTTATACTTAACAATACTATTCAGCTTTCACTTCAGTCCTAATAGTTTGTAGACTGTGTTGGAACTTCTAAAGAGTCGATGCTGATTTGAAGTTCATCTGATCGTTCACCTTAGCCTACCTAATATGTTCTCTGTTTAAGTTCCAGACACAGGAGAGATCCCCAAATTGGACAGTGGGCAGAGTAGGAGGAAGAGGAGGAAGAAAGGCCAGGAGGTCAGATAAGCCATCAACTCAATGATTAGCTTTAAAATAATCTAATGTTCACCTGATAGTACATGATTTACATTCACTGCTCTTGTCATGTGGGACCTAGCAATTCTTAGGAGGTATGCTTTGTCCCGGACATATGTCTTAATATAAAATGATGAAGTTTTAGGAAACTGGGGGTGGTGGGTGGGGGGGGGGAAATGAAACCTAGGCCCTGAGGCTTGAGATAACTTGCTCCAAAGCTTGTGGTAGAATTGCAGAATGTTGGCAGTCTTGTGCAGTTAGCTCTGCCTCTTAACTTTTCAGTTAAATATTTCACTCTCTGACCACAACCCTCTCTCAGTTTAGCTCTCATTTATTCTGATTTCAGTCTGTTGTTTTCCCTCCTTGCAGTTTGCAGGCCCATGACTTGTCCAGGTGGCCACTTCCCCTGTTTGTTGAGACGGCTTCTCAGCGCTTAAAATGTTCTCTTACCACCAGTGCCCTCAAGGGGCTCTTATGCCCTTGTCTTGCCTCCTTAACTGCCCCCGGAGCTCTGGCTAGTCATGCCGTCAGTGTCATCCCAGCTTCCAGGTGCACACTGTGAGCAATCCTGCACCACCATGGTCTGGGGCCCTGTCAGACTCCTGGCCTCCCCCGTCTGCTGGGCCCACTCACTGCCCAGCAAACCTGGCCTGCAGCTTCTCCCCCTCCAGACTCTGGGTGCTGTCCTCAGGGCGCTACCAGGGAGGCCTCCCTCATCCTCTTCAGAAAATGATTTGACTTGTACTTCTCTGAGAACAGGGACCCTGGACAGGAACTTCCTGAGCTGCTTGCCTTGGGTTCCCACAACCCAGCAGAAAGCTATGTTCTCTGTCCTCACAGCTCTGTTTCCTCCTCGGAAACTTTCTTCTTCCTTAACTCCCTTTTCTTCAACATCTCGCTCTTCTGGCTTTTTCCTTCCATCTTAAAAAAGAACACATCACAAAACTGTCCTTGTAATTTGTGTCCTCCTTTGGCCAACCCATCCCTCAAGTAAAGTGTCTTTAAAAGCTTTCCTGTTCTCATCACCTCTAGTATCCCTCGCTGGAAGTTCAGCATTGCCGTTGGGTCAGTCTTCCTGCTAATCCACTAAAACTGCCAGGGCTGTGGTGACTGCTGCGTTGTCTTGTTGGTGGATATGTTTCAGCCCTGATTTTGCTTGGTTTTTTGAGTATTTGAACTTGCTTCCCTCTTGGAACTGCTCCTCTCCTGCTTTCGCTGGCACCATTCTTTCCTGGCTTCCTCCTGTTTTTTAGGCTGCCTTTTCTGACTTTGTCTCACTAGCAGCTCTTCATTCATTTATTCCTTATATCCACACTTCCTAGGTTGCCTTTTGACCATCTTTCTCTGAAAGCTACTCTTCCTCATCAGTGTTGTCCATTTCCTTGTTTAACCACTGTCTCTGAACCAATGACTTCCTAATCAGTGTCTCTTCAGAGCCAAAGATCTGACCATCTGACTCTGATGTGACTTTTCCTACTTGAACACCTCATAGGTACTTCAAGCTCAGTGTGCCCAGACTCAGTGAATAATCCTCTTTCTCAGAGTTGTCCTTCATCTTGAATTCTAGAGACCTAGAAGTCTTTTGGATTCTTCTTTCATTCCATGGCTGGTTGGTGACCCACGTCTGGTTACCTGCACCTCCCCAATGGCTCTGAAGTCCGTCCTGTCCTCTCCATAGTAAGCCTTCCTTCAAACTTGCCTCCTTGAATCCCACCCAGTGTGCATGCTGCACCCAGAGTGATCTTTTCAAATGCATGTATCTGTGCATCTGTGGGACTCTGAAGCTTAAATCTCTGGGATCTCCCTTTGTTGCAGGTTGAAGTCCAAATTTTTTTTTTTTTTTTTGCATGTGATTGCAAGGCCTTCTGTAATCTGGCCCCTTCTAGCCTTTCTGACTCTACTTTTACTCCACCAACTTTGTGCTTTAGATATATCAAACCACTTCTTCCTGAAATACACTATGATTTCATACCTTTGTACATGCTGTTTGTCTTCTCTCTGGGATGCCTCATTCCTCTCATACTTGTATTCCCTTTGGTCAGCATATCCATCTGTCTATCCATCATCTGTCTCTCCATCCATCATCCATCCATCCATCCATCCAGTTATCTACCTGTTCCTTCTTTCCTTCCTTCCTTCCTTCCTTCCTTCCTTCCTTCCTTCCTTCCTTCCTTCCTTCCTTCATCCATTAATCATCCATCCATTCATACATTCATCCATCATCCATCCATTCATACATTCATCCATCATCCATCCATTCATCATCCATCGATCCATCCATCTGTCCATCCATTCATCTGTTCATCATCCATCTGTCCATCCATCATCCATCCATTCATTGAACAAATATTTGCTGAGCAGTTGCTAAATGCCAGACCTGCTGCTTTTCTTACCTGCCCACAGTCTCCACCTCCAGAACTGTCATTTCCTTCTTATGATCCTACCTTTTTCACATATCTCTTAATACTCACCAGAATCTATTGTGCTCTTTGTTTGCATATATCCTCCCCTACTTTGCTGGTGGGCCACTCAAGGGATGGACCATGTCTTCATTTACTTTGCAGCCTCAGTGCCATCACAGAGGCTGACCCATGGGCACAGTCATGTTTGCTGACCAAGGAGTTCCCGTTTCTCAAACCCTGTTGATTTCTAGTGGAGACAGGCAGGCACAGAGGCGATGGTCTTTGGAAGGAAAACCTAGTGGGTGTTTTTGTTTTTGTTTTTCCTGAAAGGAAGCGAATCTACTCCAAGTCTAAGGTGTGAATGGCAGAATCAGGGAGAGCCTCGTATTCTAACAGGTCTTCATGCAGCCCCTCTCCTTCTCTCTCCCTCCACCATCCTGCAGGAATGGAGGAGACAGTGAGTTTGGAACAATTAAAAGCATGCCATAAACTTCGGTAGAGAGATTTCAAGTGACCTCCAGGACTGCTAAATGTGCCTTTGGTACAGGTTTTATTTCATCCCTTTTTTGAGACAGGCATGTGGTGGGAAGAGGAACAGCGGCTCAGAGACCTTGGAGGAGAGGGATTCCAAGAGAGGGGACAAGAATTTGGCATGAGTATTTGGAGAGACAGGTTTTGAGCTAAAGTGTTCAATCATTTTCACGTGCTTAAGATGTAAACTATAAACTAATAGTAGAAGCTGTAAAAACTTAATGTGAGAATCACAAAGATGAGTCAGCCTTCAATGCCAAATAATAAAGTGTGGCAAAGGAGACTTAAGACTGATAAGGGAACAAACTAAAGCAGCAGCAAGGCTTCGATGCTGCCACAACACGTGGCCACTTGGGAAGATGCTGGGCTTTGACCCTTATGCCATGGTGTGCTGGAAATGTGCTCTTTTCTAATCACTGAGAGGACAAATGGTGTAGAAATACGATTTGGGCCATTTGAAACAAAAAAAAATTTTTTTTTAATTTTATTTATTTGAGAGAGAGAGCGAGCACAAGCAGGGGGAGCAGCAGAGGGAGAGGGAGAAGCAGACCCCGCTGAGCAGGGAGCCCGATGCGGGGCTCCATCCCAGGACCCTGAGATCATGACCTGAGCTGAAGGCAGATGCTTAACTGACTGAGCCACCCAGGTGCCCGAAACAAAAATTTTTATAATCCTATTTGAGGGTAAAATTTTTGTGTGTTGGAAGGGTAACGAATGATTTCTTTAGCTTAACCACCTGATGGGCATTTATTTCATTGCTGCCACGGACTTCTACCAGAGGTAGAAAATCCACGAAGCTTCAGATGGCAACTAGCCATTAGTTGGTGCTCCAGAAATGTTCAGGGAGGTTAGACTGAGATTTAATATGACCAGAATATCAGTGACTGCTTATCAGTATTTATTTGCTCTTTCAACAGTGATTGTTGTGCACGCCCAGGACCAAGCACAGGGACCCAGTGGGTAGCAGGGGGATAAGGGAATACGAGCCTTCTCTACAGGAGTCACCATCATCTCTCCAGAGTAGTTCCAGCATTGGGCATAGACTCCAGCCTCTTGGGAGTATGTGCCGATTCGAAGTTGAAATGTCTAGTTCACCTTGATCCCTAGTTCCTTTCCCTTTCCAGAAGTGCTGTCTTGATAACTTGGTGAAAATAATCAGGTAGAACAATAGTGTTGCCCTTCACCTACCTCCATTGACCTGGTCAAGTTCTGGTTTATCCTGGAATCTCTAGTCCAGGTTGAGAATTTCATCTTGGCCTTTTGTAAAATCCGAGAACCTGTGAGATGTATTCTCCCCACTCTTTCCCCATTGTCTAGCCTATAGGCTGCATTTTAACAATCTCTTGTTTTCTTTTCAGAAGGTAAGAGGGGCATCTGGTGGAGCTTTACCAAAACGGAGGAATTCCAAGATTTTTTTAGGTAATGTAAATAGTCATCAATAGTGTGCCCAGATTTTCTGTGTGTGTGTATGTGCACGTGCTTATTTGATTTGGAATAATAGGTTATTTATTGCTTTACAATTTAATGATAAGAGGAACTCATTTAACTTGCGATGATCTGCCTCTGCTTTGTGTTTACCTAGTGGCGAAGGATGCTTCTAGCGCTCTTAGAGTTGGGTTTAGTGTTCTGAAGCAGTTATACTTACAGTGACTGGAGAGTAATTATGATCCTGCTTCTGCTCTCCTTTTTCACTGCCTTGAAAGTAGAGACATTATTTCTTTTTTTAATATTAGCCCAGCTGCAGACTTTATTCAGATTTCATCATTTTTTTCCCACTAATGTCCTTTTTTTTTTTTTTAGGATCCCATGTTGTATTTAGTTGTCATGTTTTTTTTAATCCTCTCTAATCTTTGATAGTTCCTCAGTATTTTTTTTTTTTGTCTTTAATAATCATGACACTTTTCAAGAGTACTGGCTAGTTATTCTGTAGAATGTTCCTCAGTTCGGGTTCGTCTGGTGTTTCCTCCAAAATCTGAGGTAATGCATTTTTGGCAAGAACACCACAGAGGCGATGTGCCCTTCTCAGTGCATGATATTGGGGGGCATGTGATACTGAGATGTCTTCATATTGGTGCTGTAACCTTGATCCCTTGTTGAGGTGGTGTTGGCTGGGTTTCTCCACTGTGAAGATACAGTGTAATTAATGAATACTTTGGGAGTAATACTTTGAGACTATGCTAATATCTTGATTCTCCTCAAAGCTTTGCACACTAATTGTATCATCTGCCTGTGGATCTTGCCTGCAGCAGTGATTACTGTGGTGTGTGCCTAGCAGTGATTTTCTTCTCCCTCATTCAGAAAAGCCAAATGAGTACCAGTTTCTGTATCATGTCATCATGCTCATTTTTCATATTAAACTTCTGAAATGCTTTTGCCAGGAGAAAAAGGGACTTGATAATTTTTGACCAAGCGAGTTTCTATCCCTAAATGCCTAGGATTATGGTTTGAAAGAAACTTCAAAATCATTTGCATGTTATGATTTCATTTTGGTAAAAAAAAACTGTACACATGTGTATGTGTGTGTGTGTATGTGTGTACATGTATGTATGTGTGTGTATACATGTGTAGGTATGTACACACATGTATACATGTATAACTGAGAGTCCAGAAGAGTCTGGCAAAATATATTCCAGATTGTTAATATTGTAGCTCTTTCCTGGTGGTGGGATTGAGGTGATTTTTATTTTCTTCTTCTTCCTTATCTGATTTAAATTTTTTCTATAACAAACATGTGTCACTGTTGTTATGAAAAGACACATTAATTATTTGAAAAGTAAAGCCACTGGAAACAGTCATGGAGCTGAGTGTCCTCCCTGCTTTGAGTCTCCATTATTGAGTCTCCATTATTCTACACTGGATTTGTGCTTGTTGTTTTCTGTCCTGGTTTTCAGTCATGGTTTTCTTTATGAGGCTCATCTACAGTTGGTTTTTCCACCCCGGCCAATCTTCCACCTCTCTGTGGTCTTTGAACCACAACCCAAATCAACCAACCAAACCCAAACCAGCTCAGAATGGGCCTCAAAGCTGAAATGATTGGGTGCAATCTGATGCTTTGGTTATTAGCCTTGGGCTCCCTTCTATGAATAGAGATGATGTGACTTCTGAATTAAGTGGCATCAACATGGCATTTTCAAAGGTGGAAATAACTAAACATTTTGAATTACTGGTGTTATTTTTCCTTTGGCTGAATGGAGAAGTCAGCTGGCCTCCTGTCCTTTAACCTTTGTGTCTTTCACTTAAAGACCTTGCAGTTTGATTTCTCTAGTGATCACTTTGGTGGTAGAGGAGATAATAAAGTAACTATTTTAAGAATTAATCCAAAAGTAAACACTGAGGTTTTGTGCTTCACACTGTGTGGACCTCTTCCATTGCTTCTTGGGAATGCTAACCTATTGTTCCATTTCCGCCGTCTATTTCTATAGGCTGCCGTCTGTGTTCACTCAACATTCCATATCTTAGAAAACCACAGAACATACTTAAAAGTCACAGTCCAGCAAATATATTGTTTGGACTCTGCCAGTTTTTTAAAAAAATTAAATGTAAACACCATTTGTACTTTGGGGCTTGCCTCAGGCCCTGTTTCTCTCTATTGTTTGTTACCCATATACATCACACATTGATGTTGGCTGCTTCATCCCAGTAAGAATTTGGTTTTGCAAGCCCAGATTTACAGTTCCCTCAATATGATGCTTCATGTCCCCTAGGAGCAGTCACTTTTCTCTTATTACACTGATCACAGCTGTTTTCAAGCTGATGTGGCCTGTACATTCAAGTGAAGGACGATATTAGGCTTAGATCTGGCTTATGCAACAGAAAATTTAAAATATTGGTGACTTTAAATAAGGTAGATGTTTATTTCTCTCTCATGTAGAGGATATCAGGAAGCAGCAAGTCCAGGCTGTTGTGATGGCCTCATGTTCATCAGGATCTAGACTCTTCCCCTATCTCTGCTTCACCCTCCATCCTGCCCTGTGATTCTAACATCATGGTCACTACATGGTCCAAAATGGCTTCTGGAACTCCCACCCTTACATCGCCGTCCCAGAAAGAGCAAAGAGGAAGGGGGGAAGGACAAAAAAAATATCTAGTCTCCCTGTGGAGTCATCAGCTTCCTTTTGTCAGTCTTCTCACAGATCCCTAAGCAACACTTCACTTTATACCTCTCTGGTCAGGACTTGGTCACGTGGTCATACCTTGTGCTGTACAGGAGACTGGAAAGTACATTAAGTTTATTAACTGGCTTCATTGAGTAAAGTCTGTTTGAGGAAGAAGGGGAGAGTGGCTACTGGGAGGCAGCTTGTAGCTTCGCTAAAAGGGATGTTGGGTTTGTCTCTTCTTGGAGAGGACGAGAACTCAGAGCTCTCTTGCAGCATCTTTGTTTCTTTGACTAGAAAGCATTTTTCTCATTGCTATTAAAATGTCATCACAATGCCCATCTTCCCCTCACAAAATAGATGTAGCTGATTAACGCTTTCTCTTGGATAGAAGCTTCTTTTTCCCCAGTCACTTCATGACTTCGTGACCAATTCCTTTTTCACTGGCTCAACAGTGAACATTGAACCCACTGAATCATTCAATTATGACCTTCAATATTGATTCTATAAGGGAAACTGAGCTGGTGCTGAATGGCCTATCCAAGTCTCTGGAGCACCATCTTGCCCCTCAACATTCAAGTCACTCTTCCCGATTACCTTGATGTTCATTCAGGTGAAGTCACAGTTAAGGACTCTTCGGTCAGCTCTAGCTCTTGCTGGTGTGTGTGTGTGTGTGTGTGTGTGTGTGTGTGTGTTTAAATCAACAATGACAATTATTTATTTTTGAATCACTTAATTTTATACTTTTTATACTTAGGATTTAAAAAACATTTTTAGAACAATGTTTTTTGGACAAAGCTTAAAATTGAAAAGTTATAAAGGGCTCTATAATGAAAAGTAAGTCTTTCTCGCTTCTCTGCCTCCTAGCTTACTTGGTTGCTCTCCCCAGAGACAAATAGTATTTTCTATTTACACATTCTTACATATCTTGTATATTCTTCCAGCAATAGTATAATATATACCATGTTTTTAGACTTTTTTCCTCTAGGCAGTTGGGGACCATTAACACTTAGTTTCCAAACTGTGCTCTGAGGCACCCAAGGGTGCTACAGTGAACTCACAGGTGCACCACAGGGTATTTTAACATTTCAAGGGAACAGCAGTGATGCTTGAACATTGCATGAACTATTAGCATGGTGTAGTTTTACTATCGGAGAATCCTAAATTCCTTTCAGTGACTTCACCTCTTTGTGGAGCTGGTTTTTTGGTGGTTTCTATGGTAAAAAGGCAAGTACCATGTGAAAAATAAATGTGGAACAGGACATGAGGGAGGCTGTGTTCCATTTGATTCAGAAAGAAGCTGTGCAGTGCCCAACAGGGGCACACATCCCGTTAGCAAGGGTTTGTGGTGATTTAAGAGTGAAATAAAACATTTCTGCCTTTCCATTTACATATATTATTTTTTTCAAATGGTTACTAAATCATTAGAACATAAACACTTATTAAGTTGTTTGGACCCAACTACTAAACAAACAGGGCTATTGGGCATTTCTTTTGGCTTAGGGCCGCTCTGCACTGAGGAAGTGGGTAGCTCTGTGTCAATGTTTTTAAGCTAGAGAGGGACACTGTTAGGTTATCTTTTAAAGGATAACTTACACCGATAGGGGAGATTGTGAATTTTTGGACTCAGCTAATACAAAACTTACTGTTTTATGAGATGGAAGGAGAGAAGGGGGGGTATTAGGGAGTCCAGGATCTTCAAAGAAATACCCCAGGACTCATGATGTGGTTCTGGCCTAATCTTACATATTTTTTACAGTCAAGCTACAAATGTGTATAGATGTGTAAATAAGTTCTAAGGCATTTAGTGCACATCTTTGGTATTTCATTAAAACAGTGTTAAATATTTACATTTTTATTGGCTTCCCCACCTTCCCACCAACTTTCAGAAATAGGAGTAAAGGAGTCGAGTTCTTTTGTGTCTGAAGTCTGGGACATCGAAGAACCACCACTAAAACTCAGCTTAAATTTCTACTTTTTTGGTTTTAGCCTTAGCATTCATACTTGATGAGAAATGGGTTGAAAACAGAGCATTTGTGGAAAGTTCTAGGAATGGGCCTGTTCAGGAAACTCAGCTGTATCTATAAGGGCCAGAAGTTTCTAGTGAACTTCATTTTGCCCCTTCCTTCTGAAGTAAGTCCCAGACCAGGGTCTGTGTCCAAGGAGGTTTCCCCCGTACCTTCCTGTGGGGGTAAATGGTTGGTCAGATTTCACAGCACTAGATCAGCCAGACTTCTCACCTTGAGCACACAGATTAGTCAATCTGGTCAGGCCGGGGAGAACTCTGAGCTGGGTGTCCGAGTCCTGGTTTGATTTAAAGGTCTTTTCATTCATGGTGCTGCTTCTCAATCTAGGCAAGTCGCTTCTCAGAAATGGCTGTGGTCCCAGCCACTTCTCCCAGGGATCTGAGAGGATCATTGAAGTTGAATTGGGAAGAGATATTAACAATTTTTTTTAATTTAGAAAAAGTGTCCATTCAGGTATTGCAAGTTAATAGCCATAGTGGAAAGTAGCTGCTGGGAGAGGTTGGGGGTCCTAGTCCTACTGGTCCCTAGGGTATAATTTCTCTGTAGGTTCCTCAACTAGATATTTTTGGGGTGTTAAGACTCTAATTAGGGAAATTTAGAACTTACAGATTTATACTTGGGATTGTGGGGTCATATATATTTAGGAGAAATCTTAGATTTGTCCCTTAAAACCAGAGTGTAACTTACTTCTGTGACTTTTCCTTAATTTGGATAAAGATGTTTGGGAAGGATCACGGTCCCCTTCTATCCCATTGAATTAAAAATAAAAATAAAAGCAACTACAGATGGAGTATGAAGAAGCCCAACAAAGTTCTTGCTTTTTTGCACAACAGCAGTTGTGCTTATTTTTAAACACATACCCATTACCAATTAAAAAACCCCCAAACCCACAACCACCCTTCTGAGACTCCTGCTTTGCTGTTGTCCTTAGCATATTGGGGTTTTTAAGTTCCTGAAGTCTCCTTTCATTGACACTTCGTGCATGAGTGGTGTGTGCTGGGTACTGTGCAGGGGCTGGGCATATGCCAGGTGAACAAGACCCGATTCCTGCGCTGACAGTTTACAGTCTAGAAGCCTTTGAAGTTCATATGTTCTCCATTCCAAGATCACATAGGAGGATCCCTGGGATGAGCCAAAGGGAGGGGAGGGCACTTTTGATTATGTCGGTTGTCAGGAGCGTAGGGAAGGGGGTGATGGTGATGATGGTGGCCGCTCTCTATGGAGCCCCTAACACCTGCCGGATCCTATACCAGATGCCTCAAAACCTTATCTTGTCTAATCCTTGCAGCAATCTTATGGGGGCAGATGTTATTCATAGTGTGCTCCTGAGGAAAATAAACTTGGAAAGACCTTGCCCAGGGTTACATAGTTAGTAAATGACAGAGCAGGATTTTTTTTAGATGTAGTTTATCATTGTGTCTGGCCAGGTGGGACTTGACTTAGTATTAAGTGAGTGTGTTTTCTGTGGACAAGAGAAGCTTAGATAATATGTAATATGAGCCGAATCTGTACACAAAAACAAAAGAGTTGTACTTCCATTCCTTAAACTTGTTATAAAAGATATAATAAAGATTTAAGAATAGAAAAATGCTCACACACTCACTGTTTTCATTTGTTCGGATTTCCTTCTATTTCTCGTCTATGAACATAACTTTTACAAAGTTGTCTTTACAGTGAAGATGAATTTTGTATTTTTAACATTGACATAGCATAAATATTTCCATGTTTCTACATAGTCTAAATAAGTATCATTTAAATAATATTCTACTGGGTTGAACACCATTCTCATTGAACATTTAGGTTCTAATTTTTAAAATTATAGAAATTGAGGCATTCAAATACCATGGGAGACGATGGACTCTAAAAACAAACTGAGGGTCCTGGAGGGGAGGAGGGTGGGGGGATGGGTTAGCCTGGTGATGGGTATTAAAGAGGGCACGTACTGAATGGAGTACTGGGTGTTATGCACAGACAATGAATCATGGAACACTACATCAAAAACTAATGGTGTAATGTATGGTGATTAACATAACAATAAAAAATTAAAAAAAGATTACCTGCAAAAAAATAAATAAATAAAATAAAATGTCGATGCAGTAAAAAAAAAATTTTTTTTATAACATATAGAATGTCTGTCTTTATTTGAACCATTTCCTTTAAGTAGATGCCTTTTGTTACTTTTTAAAAAAAATTGAAGATCTGATTGCTTTTATTACATGATTCATGAATTGGGCAGCATCCCATCTAGCAAATAACGCTTTTAATGACTTCTTAAACTCTTAGAATCATCTTTAACATTGCCTTTTGTCAAACTGACCTATTATGGCTATCTAATAATGTTGGCTATTTCTTTATTTTGGCATTTCTGATTCTTACTATTTGGAATCTTTTATTAAATTGTTGAGACCGTGTTTTCCCTGTATCTCATTTTCCACTTAAAACTGCCTCCTTTTGAGAATTCAGGAGCAGAACTGTACACAAAAAGATTCTAGGTTTTTGGTTGGAGGCAAACAACAAGGTAATAACAGAACCTAGATCCTTTGGTTCTCAGGTGGTTGCTTCGTCTAGGAAAATAACTTTATTCTGTCTACAGACCTATGTTTGTGTACCTGTTTATGTGTGATGTGAGTGGAATAGGGCTCAATAGCTCCTTATCACCATAGTTCCAAACATCTAAATATACAAACCTGATCTGGGATCAGGTTAATGTAAGGCTGAAATGTCCATGTAAATATTGTGACAAGACATTTTCTTGAGCCTTCACTTAACCTTCACCAGAGATTAGCCAAGCAAACAGGTGATGACTTGATACATAGCAGGCTAGAGGAGCTCAGTTTTCTTACTGAAAATTCTGCACAGCCTGAGGACAACAGGACTACTTATATTATGGGGTTTCCCCCTCTGGTTTACGATACAATGTCTTAATAACTCCTAGAGGGGGGTGGGGAGAGAGAGACAGAGACAGAGAGAGGGAGATTGAGATTTTGTTTTTAAATAATAGCTATCACTTATTGACTACCTATTATGTGCCAGGTCTCTTGTCCACAATTTCTTATTTATTCCTCGGATAAGCTTTGTGAGATAAGAGATATTATCTCCATTCTACAAATGGGGAAACTAAGGATTAGAGACTTTGTGACTTGCTCAAAGTTACATTAAATTTTGGAGCTGGAATTGAACCTTGGTTTATGTATGCTGAAACCTTGTACTTTCTTCCATATTACAGTGTTGTGAAAAACATTCCAGTCCATTCTTATGCAGTCAGGAGCCAGGTACCCAACAGATCAGAATGAACCATTTACTCCTTTAAAAGTCTTTACAAATTGACTATCTGCACATGTGTCTATTTTAATTGTAAAGCTGTGTGGTCGGTCTCAGTCTTTATACATCTGTCACTTATCAATAAGTATTCATAACTTAGGAAAGATGGTAGGCCTTTTACTCCTGGTTTGGGGCAGACGGATGGTGGTCAGAGGAGGGAATCGTAAATGTCATGCTCTTGGTTTGTCATTCCTGTGGATCTCTGGCTTTCGCAGTGAGTCCTGCCTTGGTGTAGAATGTTCTCTCTTCACTTCTTGTTCTTTGTTTTTGTTTTTTCCTCAGATCTAGATACTGATGACGATTTAAATAGCGACGATTATGAATATGAAGACGAAGCCAAACTTGTTATATTCCCAGACCACTATGAAATAGCACTACCAAATATTGAGGAGTTACCAGCCCTGGTCAGTGAGTGTGCACGGCTGCTAGCTAGATGCGCGTGACTCTGTGTCAGGTGTGTGTGCGTGTGCAGTGTGTGTGCACTCGGCGGGTGGGGAAGGCAGGTTGAATGAGAGAAGAGGAGAAGAACGAGCAGGAACATGAGCATATTGCTTCTTCTCTGTGAAAGGGTCTTGCGGGGTGAGGTTTTAGTAGAGTTCGGCCAGATACCCTCTCCTGCGTGTTATTTTCCATTGCTGTGTGGGCCTCTAAGTATATAAACATTGGGCTGGTCTCTCCCCTGTGGCCTGGCCTCCCCCACTTCCCCACGGTGGGCTGCCCCCTCCCCCACGGTGGGCTGCCCCCTCCCCCACGGTGGGCTGGTCTCCCCTCGGTGGGCTGGCTTCTTGCCCCTTGTAACTCACAGTCTGTTGCTTAGATTTTCACACTGTGCCCCTGAGATGTACAGGGGCTGTTGGAGAGGGGTGTCTTCTGATCAGAGGAATGGCTATATTTTTATCTCTTGTGCATATTAGCCTTCCACGTGAGATTTTGTTTGGGAAAAATAAGGATTTCTCTGCCGAAGCAACAGCAACACAATTATAAAAATAACCAAACGTTTACAAATCACAGATCTGCAGGAGCTCTGTGGTAATGTGAGACTCCTTGAAAGTTTTGTTCCTCATGAAGAATAAAACTACTTTCTAGGTTTTAGCGTTTAGCTTTAGTGGTGAATTTTTTTTTCTCTTTCCTTCCCTTGATTTTCGTGGAGCAACATTCACCTTCCTGAATGACATGGAGCTGGGGGTGGCAAGGGAGGTGAGGAAGCCACGTTCTGTTTTGCTTTGATCTCGTAAGGAGGCGCGGAGCTCCTGTCAGGACCCAGGGATTGTTCCTGTTCTTTCCTCCTATCCTGTGTTGTCTCCCCCACCCCATCCTTCTCTCCTTTCTTTTTGTCTTTCCCACTCTGTGCGCACCCTGACTTCTCAGAGCCTAGCCCCCGGGAGCAGGAGGGTCAGGGTCCATGGAGTTTAGACATGCTAGCTCTCTTCCCTCCCCGCACTCCCCCAGAACAAGAGCCAGGTGTTTAGGTCCGGGAATCCTCAGGACATTGTGTGACTTTGTATCTACAGCCACCTGCTCACTTGCTTCTGCCAGGAGGGGGGGCGTGTTTGTGCTTGGGGTTCCCATGTCATTAGAGACCAGGTTTCTACCATTCAACCTCTTTTGCCCCTGACCTACTTTCTACCTAAATATAAGACCATAGAAATGAAAATGTGTATTTAGCTACTGTAGCTCTTTCCTCTAATTATTATATGTGACATATCCTTTTTTAGTGCTAAGTGCACAGTGTTTAGCAGTGCATAGAGAATTAAATTACCTCTCCTTTCTCCAGTTCCCTGTGTTGACTCATGTGGCCGTTACCAAGGATAAAATGTATGAGTGGGCAAAATGGTCTTACCTCGTCCCATTACCTGAAATTATATACTAAAGCTTGTATCTCCATGATACTGAGAGTTCTTGCTGCCTGCCCTTATTTAATATCTCTTACGTCTGCTGTCAGAAAAGAAATAAAGAAGCGCGTTGTGAATAAATGTCACGAGAAATGGTTTTTCTTTCACTCACTTATGAAAGAGAAGCCTTTATGTGAAAAAGTTGATGGAGCCTTTAAGTGTTTTTTAATTATTCCTATATTCAGAATATAATTCAAAGTGTGAATACTTTTATTTAAATAAAAGTGAAGAGTCATAGAAATCTGAGTCCCTCAATATATGTTATAATTTTTAATACGGTCTTTTAGCATCAAGAAATACATAAAAATTTTCTAAAAAAGGGGGCACCTGGGTGGCTCAGATGGTTGAGCATCTGCCTTCGGCTCAGGTCATGATCCCAGGGTCCTGGGATGGAGTCCCGCATCGGGCTCCCTGCTTGGTGGGGAGCCTGCTTCTCTCTCTGCCTCTGCCTCTCTCTCTGCCTCTGCCTCTCTCTCTCTCTCTCTTTGACTCTCATGAATAAATAAATAAAACATTTAAAAAAATTTTCTAAAAAAGGAGAGGGAGAATTATTTGAAAGTTGGGGTGGAGAAATTGAAGGAAAAGCCTGGGTTTATCTGATGGTAACTGATAGGATTTATTTATATATCAGGTGCTAGTTCCTATCTTTTCATGCTTCTGCTACATTTTTTGGTTTGATATTCTCGTTTTAAGCTTTGAAAGATTTTATTTATTTACTTATTTATTTATTTGAGAGAGAGTGAGTGAGCAAGTGTGTGTGTGAGAGAGAGAGCGAGATAGAGACTGAGCAGGGGGAGAGGGAGAAGCAGACTCTCTCCATTGAACAGGGAGTGCGACCTGGGGCTTGATCCCAGGACCCTGGGATTATGACCTGAGCCGAAGGCAGACTCTTTTTTTAAGCTTTTAAATAACAAAAATTATTGAGCTGGAAATCACCCAACCAGATGACTCTTCCTTCATCTTTTGAGCTTCTCAGCTCAGAAAAAATTCTGTTTCTGATAAGAACTCTGTGGATTCTACCAGAAAGTTAAACCACCTCTCAGTGATGTGGAGTTTGAAGAGACATAGCATTTGGAGCTCAGTAGGGATCTTATAGCCTGAAATCCAATGCCTCATTTTAGACATCAGGAACTCAAGCAATGGTGTGCTTGTAAATATTTAGCAACCGGCTCCCTGGGGGAAAGCCCTGCTTTGTAGTGTTTGATGATTTCCGTGGTGTAAATATTCCCACCGTGGCTGATTTCAGACTAACAGGATGTCTCGAAAGCAGTGTTGAAAAGAGAGTGTACAGAGGCATACCATTATATAGAATTCCCGCCAGTCACATAATGTAAATATAAATAACCTCAAGAGCACACAGAAACTCGTAAGATATAGTAGAACGGGAAGTGAAGAATTTTGAGTGTTTGTTACTTTTTAAAAATGTATTTTACTTGATTGTAAATTTTTATAATTTAATTTTCAATAATGGCTGTGTTTAACAACCATCTTGCAGAATTTCTTAAAATTTAACAATCAAGTCTGTGAGCCAGTTTGAGTCAGTTCCAGAACACTACTGAATTTGAGGCCTATGAGGCCTGGGATGGAGCCAGGACTAGTACCAAGTTTTTTTTTTTCTCTTCACTCTAGACAACAAATCCAGGGAAAGACAATTCATGGCATAATTATAGGATAATAGATCCTGATCTTCAGCTATGATCCATATGAAGGGCCGCTAAGTGATTTCAGATGATACCCTGAAAATACTAGATCAGTGTTTCGTAGTGGCCCAGAAATTTGAGGAAATTTTGTTGAGTGTCACCAAGAAGTATATGCAAAGAAAAGAGAGAATATTGTATTTACATCTTGATCAACATTATTGTGCACTGTGGAGAAGATTCAGAGGAGGACAGGGAAGGGACTGAGATAGTCATTGAAGCAACCAGGAGATTGTCATAACAGACCAGATGGAAAAGCTTGGGATGTGTAGCCCGAGTGCTAAGGCAGCCCAAACCCGGAGGATCAGGAGGGGGTTTGTGGTGACCTCAACCCTGTTTTCTAGGGGTACTTCTGGAAGGAAGTGGGAGATTAACTTTGATCATTGAAAGGAAAGGCTAATTGTCTAAAAGTGCTTGTGGTGAGAGATGAGTGGGACTATCTCTTTTAAAAGGTTTAAATATATTTATGGATGCCTGGCGTGTCATGGTGTATAAGCTTTCTGAGGGCAGAGATCTCTTCCTTATTCCTGACCGTGCCTTGCTCAGTGCCATCCATCGGTAGTGCCTTGGAGACTTTTAAGCTGCAGCGGGAGAGGATGTGATATTCCCAGCAGACCAGTCTGGCTACTGTACAGAGGAGGGGGCAGGCGTGGGAGAAAGGAACCTGCAAGGAGGCTGCTGTGTGGCCGTCTGGGTGAGCTGTGTTAGTGGCTGGGACCAAGACAAGTGTGACTGAAGGTGAGAAGAGGAAGGTTCCAAACAGATTCTGGATGTAGCAGTGAGAGGAATTGCTCATGGGCTGGGTGGGCGGGGGACGGCAGCTGAGGGAGCTTCCTTCATGGTCTCTTAATGAGTTCTAGGGCTACCCAGGGGAAAACACTGTGCATGAAGTTCAGCTAATTGTGCAGGATGTTAGTGATGTAGAATACAAACCTCGGTTTAAAAACTTTTTTAAACCATCCAGTGGCTTTTGTTGTATTCGGAGTTGGGCATCCATTGCCGCCATCTCCTTGTGGAATATTCTCATCACCCCTTCACCTGTCATCCCTTTCAGCCTCTGGCAATCCCTCATCTACTTTCCGTCTCGATGGATTTGCCTATTCTGGACATTTCATATAAATGGAATCATACATTATACATAGTTCTTTGTGGCTGGCCTTTTTTACTTGGAGTGTATTTATTTTCAAGGTTCATTCATGCTGTGGCATGTATCAGGACTTCATTCCTTTTTATTGCTGAATAACATTTCCTTGTGTGGACATAAGACATTTTATTTATCCATTTGTCATTAATGGGCATCGGGGTTGTTTCTGCTTTTTGGCTATTCTAAATAATGCTTCTGTGAACATCTGCATGTAAGTTTTTGCATGGGCACATATTTTCATTTTTCTTGGATATATACCTAGGAGTCGAATTGCTAGGTTATATATATGGTAACTCAGTTTAACCATTTGTGGAACTGCCAAACTGTTTGCCAAAGTGGCTGCCCCATCTTACACTCCCACCAGAATATGTTTTTAAAGACAGCTAGAAATAGTTGTTATAGCATTAAGCAAATAGCAAATGTGGTGATATGCATATGTGCCGGGTTAATTGGGTTTAGGAGAAAGCAGAGAATTTGCACCCTCTTCCCCTGTGGTCAGTTGGTGCCAAGCTGGACATCACAGATTTGCTCATGATGTTGACTGACCTGGCACAGAGATACCTGAGCATGTCCCTGTCCAGGCTCACATTTGCACCAGATTAAGAAATGGAGCCATGCTGCTTGCATTCCATTCAAATGCCCTTGACCGCATGGCATTGTGTGATGAGTTGAGGATATTGGATATCTGGGTGTATGTTTGTTAGGAGGAAAACATACCACTTGGGTAAATCCTAGGCATTCCTGTAGCTAATTTCACTCTTGTAAATCATTCACCGAATACTTTTTACTCTGCTTGCTAAGAAATTGTTAAATCTGACTCCTCTGCTTGGGTTTACAGACTGGATTGGGTTCCTTGCTATCTTGTATCATTGTAAATACTGCACACTCTAGGTTAGGGACAAACCCTAGCTAGATTCATGGAGAAAGTGCTGGAATCAGCTAACTAGGATCTTGCTCTTATGGTCACTGCTGTCTAAATTTTCTTGGATCAGGCTGTATTTATTAATGAACTTTTAAACTTGTTTTCTAGAAGTTGCTATTCTCTCAAACTGTTTTTACTATGACATCTGGGTTTGTCTTACAGGTAACAATTGCTTGTGATGCAGTTCTCAGCTCAAAATCTCCATATAGAAAGCAGGACCCAGACACATGGGAAAATGAATTGCCAGTATCCAAATATGCCAATAACCTTACCCAGTTGGACAATGGAGTCAGGATTCCTCCAAGGTGAGTGTCAAGTAGCGAAATGGAACTTTACCCCTTAAAACTGGCTAAAGGAATATTTACATTTCTACCCCTTCTCTGAATTGGCAGTTATATATATTTTTACCAGATGCCTCTGATTAAGACTAAGCCCAAAATTCTTTCTAAAAGTATCTGCACCTTTGTAGAGGCTGAGCACGGCCAGCCCATATCCTTGAGCTCATCCCCACCCCTTTGGCTCTCAGTGGCAAGCACCCACAGTTCTTTGCTTGAGGGCTTTCTCTGCCTGCTGAGGCCAGGCAGGCCTGTGCATGGGACAGTGAGAAATGCCATGGAGTTAATGCTTCCTCCTGTCCTGGAACTGCCCTCAACCAGTGACTGTGGTGTGGGTGGACAAATACCCTGGACCCTGACCCCTCGAGGGGAGGTCCCCAACTGGACTGAGCCGCAGTTGCCCATGGTGGTCATCTGCTTGTTGACGTACCTGGACTGACTTCCTCCCCTTTCCAGTCTTCCTTCCCTCCAGTGCTTCCTGGGATCACCTCCTAAACAAGCCATTTACATTCAAACCTTAGTTTCAGAGTCTGCTTCTAGGGGAACCCAACTTTTTCCAGTCTTTGGTTGTCACCTTTGTGGCTGGAATGTTCTTTGGGCTACATTAGCATCTCCTATTAGGTCTGTTGTGTGGACAGAGGCAGGTGCTCTAGTCTTATTGAACCTGCCTGTGCTGCCTTCCCATTCTGTGTGGTCACAGGGGAAGGCAGGCTACTTCTGGGCCTCAGTTTCTCCTTTTGATAATGGGGTTGGGAATATTGATTCTGAAGGGTGTTGAATAGAATTAGATGATCAAACTTCCATAGGGTACTTGGCATGTACCTGACATTTAACCTTCAGTGAAATTGACATTCTTTATACTTCATTCAGATCTGCTGCATAGTAGGATTTTGTTTAAACAGGTTTTACTAGGAGTGGTTAATGCTTTAGAACTTTACATGTTTACGCACATGGGATCCTTCATGTTTTAGACTTACTTGAGCTCCACTGTCCCTCAGGTAGGAATTTGAAGGAAATGACCTCCCCTCCTGACCTCAGGTTCTGTGTTTTTTTTAAGATTATTTATTTGCCAATTTTTTAAAAGATTATTTATTTGAGAGAGAATGAGAGTGAGAGAGAGGCAGAGGGAGAAGCAGACTCCCCGTGGAGCAGGGAGCCCGATGCGGGGCTCGATCCCAGGACCCTGAGATCACGACCTGAGCCGAAGGCAGACGCCTAACCAACTGAGCCACCCAGGCATCCCACTGTGTCAGTTTTCTAAAGTAAAAGAGCCCTGGCGGAGGCAGGCAGGGTACTGATTGGTCCTGCTGCTCTGGGAGGGGCGACATTAACATTCTGAAGGGAGAAGAGGGGGAAGGAAGCACCGGTTTCCTTTGTTTCACTCACCATTTCCTGTGACCCCCAGCTTGAGACAGTCCGTTTTCTTGGATGCTAATTTTCTAGCTATGCTTCGTGTTCCAGTGATAGTAACTGCTCTCCACTGACTTTTCAGTGGTTGGAAGTGTGCCAGGTGTGACCTGCGGGAGAACCTCTGGTTGAATCTGACTGATGGCTCCGTGCTGTGTGGGAAGTGGTTCTTTGACAGCTCTGGAGGCAACGGCCACGCGCTGGAGCATTACAGAGACATGGGCTACCCTCTAGCCGTGAAACTGGGAACCATCACTCCTGACGGGGCAGGTGAGTGTGCCCTCACTGACTTTCAGAACTTGCAGTGGCTCCTCTTAGTTGAACCGGTGCCTTCATTCCTCGGTTGGAAGGTGTAGGCTCTGGACACAGCTCAGGTTTGAATCCTGATTCTGCCTCTTCCTGGCAAGTCTTCAAATCCTTCTCAGCTTCAGGTTCCTCATCTTGAGGATGATCGTGGTAGCTCTCTCATAGATCTGTTAATGTGTCTAAAGCATTTAGCCCAGTGCACACAGTAAGGCCTTAATAAAAGTTAGTTGCTACTATTACCTGTTACTACTGTCTTTCTGTATATCTCTCGGCTAAGAGGACAGAGGGGTAGGAACCAGGACTTGTGAAGTGAACAGGGATAAATAAGTCCACCATTAGAACTGTAGAGGGAAGCCCTAGAATTCATTATGGGGGTGAGCATCATTTTAGAAACTAGTGGAAACATTAAGGAAAGGGATTTTAAAGGATGTTGTGTGTCAGAGTTCCTGACAGCGGCCGGCAGCAAAGGATTAGACTTGGTTCCTACTTGTATTGTCACCTTCAGAATTGGTTCTCTTTCTTTATGTTCTCATACCGTATGCTCTCAAATGTTAGTTTTTGGCCACGTTTGTACAGTTCATTCCATCTACCATTTTGTGATGGAAAAGGGAAATAATATCAGGATCAATAACAAGAAACTTAAATTCTGAGCAAGGGCCATAAGAATCCATCATCTAAGCATCATTGAAAACATTTACTCAGTAAGCATAGATCTGGACCAAGACCTAGGTCAGTCTTCTTCATCTTTCCAAGTTTTAGTCTCTATTTCTTCTTTATTTTAAGGTCAGATGATTTTTTAGGAGAAATACAAAGACATTTGTCTTAGCTTCTGTTCTCTTTTAGGACTGAATTCGCCTGCTTCAGAGTTAATTGGCTAGGATGTTTTCTCCATAGCACACTTCTTGTCTACCATGTCTTTTCCATCAAACTGGTTTTGTTTTTCATTTGTTTTAGAATTGAGGGCTGACAGTTTGATCATGTAAAGATTCTTTTGATTCACATTTTGGATAATCTTCGTGCTTCCAAAGTTAGTGGACTGATTTTTAACTCATTAGAGATAAGTAGCTGCAAAAGTCCCACATGCTGGTGCCAGACATTCCCCCCAAGTGGATAAACCTCTACACAAGCCAGGGTGAATCATACAAATTCCAGAATCTGAAGAGGAAATTAGGGACATGCAGTTGGATTGAGGGTTACAGCAAGTCGCTTACAGGTCTTCGCTATGTTGAATGACTGCTGTACAAGGCAACCATCATAAGGCTACAGAGGGAAGGGTTTGTAATATAGGAGTTCTAGTGGGTAAAATTGTAAGGCGAGAATCATTTGAATGTGTCTCCTTTTTTTTTTTTTAAGATTTATTCATTTAGAGACAGCGTGCATGCAAGTGTAAGCGTGTGGATGGGGCGGGGGGGGGGGGGGGTTGCAGGCAGAGGGAGAAGGAGAGAGAATCCCAAGCAGACTCCGTGCTGAGTATGGAGCCTGGCACAGGGCTTGATTCCACTACCCTGAGATCACAACCTGAGCAGAAACCAAGAGTCAGATGCTTAACTGACTGTGCTATCTAGGCGCTCTGAATGTGCCTCCTTTCTATGTTGTTTTTTGTAGTGCTTTGATAAGACCAGTTATTAGAAGTCCAGTTCCCAGAACAACCTAAGACTACAATTGTTTGTATACATGGCTTTGTTCTAAAATTTCAGTTGTTTGAAGGCAGAGCTATGTCTTACTCATCTTTGGGTTCCTCTTACACGTGGTAGGTGCAAATACTTTTCTTAAATAAACCGACTGGTATGTATTTAAATAATTAGATTCTATTTAAATGTATGCTAATAATAAAGGCAAGGGTTAATTCTGTTCTCTACATGTCTTTAATTTTCCAGAAGCCTTTTTTCTAGCATGAAACTTATTTTCAAACTATGATTTAGACTTTTTTCTTCTTTTCATCTAAAATTTTTTTCCTTTCAGCTTGAGGAAGGAACATTTTATATTTGCCCCTTGATTATACAAGGAGCAGATATTCAGTGTAACATATTTAGAAAACAGAAAGATTTAGAGAAGTAAATAAAAATCACTAGTAATATCATTTGACAAATCACTTCTAACAATTTGGTTATCTCCTTTCAGTTTTGTTTTCTGTTTTAAGGTCTTGATCAATTCTTACACAACCCCCCCAGACTGCCCCTGCTCTACATTTTTACAAAAAGGGATTCACACTGTATAAAGTTCTATTCCTTGTTTTCCTCTGTTTAACATTAAATATATATATATTTATATATATATGGATGTGTGTGTATATATATATATATTCCATGTCATTAAATACTCTTCAGTATCCCACAATAGTTCCATAAATCATTTCACTATACCCCTGTTAGTTGTTACAATTTTTTTGCTATTCTGATGAACATCCTTGTATATATGGAAATCTTTGGATGTTTGTCTAATGATATATTTAGGACAAATTCTTATGAACAAAGGGTTGAACCTTTCAAATTTTCATTTGCCGAATTTCTCTTTTAAACAGTTACAGTAATTTACATTCCCATTAGCAGTGTATGAGAGTACCCATTTCAGCAAATCTTTAACAACTTTGGATATTCGCCATTTTTAAAAACCTTTGCTAATCTGGTACCTTGTTTTCATTTGCTTTACTAGGGAGGCTGAATATTTTTCATAGTATTTTTGGCCATTTGTAATTCTATTTGTGAATTTCTTCGGTTGATTTTCTAGTAGGCATGTGTGTAGGTGTTCCTTATTGGTTTAAAAAAAAACTCTTCAGGGCACCTGGGTGGCTCAGTTGGTTAAGCGACTGCCTTCGGCTCAGGTCTTGATCTTGGAGGCCCTGGATCGAGTCCTGCATCGGGCTCCCTGCTTGGCAGGGAGTCTGCTTCTCCCTCTGACCCTCCCCCTTCTCATATGCTCTCTCTCAAATAAATAAATAAAATCTTTTAAAAAAAAAAGAAAAAAATAAAAAAACTCTTCAGCTGCTAAGAATATTAATTCATTATCTGCCATAGTTAAGTGTTTTTTTTTTTGTTTTGTTTTGTTTGTTTGTAGAGGAGGGAGAACTTTTCCTTATATAATTTAGATATTTGAATAAATATTCCTGTTTCGATCATAGAAGGCATAAAACAAACAGCAATGTAGGTCCTATAGCCCATGATGAGAGTTCTTGAATTCATTCACCTGAGATAATGTTCACTTTTTGAAGAAAGATCAGGATTTGATTTCTGCTTGTCTTGTGCAGAGTTGGTTTTAACACAAATGATTATTTTCAGGCTAATTATTATATTAGTTTATGGGATGCATCAATTTTATATTAGTTTCTTTTAAGTCTGTTTAGTAGATTGCTAGCTGTAACTCATTTATTTTAAAGCCAAATAAGTTAATGTAAACATGCCTAAAGTTTCCCTTAATGTCTGATGATGAGCCTTGTGGACATCGAGGCCTGGGAGCACAGGGTGCCCTCTGTTTAGGGGCGGGTAGCCACCTCCTGGTGAAGGTAACACTGCCAACGGTCCCATTTCCATATTTGCTAGGCTCACTGAGGCTAATTCAACTAGCAAGAGAGAAAGTGTTTATTTTTTAGTTTATGGTGAGAACCACAACTGCCTGTAAGTGGGATGTTTGTGTTGGCTTAACCAGTACATTCCTTTCCTGTGGGGAGCTGACTTATATTTAGAGTATTGCTTAGTGAACATGGAATCCAAGCAGGTTGTGGACTCAACTATTTTATGGTAATGTGATCTGATCATCCCGGTTTCCTTCTCCCCAATAAGGATATACCTGTTCGGTGAGAAACTCCTACTTACCTTGAGGTCGCAACTTAGAATCAGTTCTTCCAAGAAGCCTGGACCGCCTAGGCGAGGCCATTGTGGTGGCATGGGTAATAAAAATGGCCCCATATCAAATTCCATTCTGGGTCTCCATGAGTACAGCGACAAACAAACCCAGAAACAAATCACCATACAAACAAACACATAAAAAGAGCTTTCCTTTGTGGGAGGAGACACTGATTTGGCAAAGCAAGGATGAGGTTCTGGGTGGGAAGGGAGTGAGGAGGGACAGAGACAGGAGAGGGTGTTTCCTTCTTCTATCGTGAAACTAGGTTACCTAAAAGAAGCCTCGGTGCCTTGGTGGTTGCAGGAGAAGTTTCTGGAGATGCCCACAGCAGCTGTGAAATCGCCTGCCCCCACTGGACCCTGCATCAGCTCAGTAGCATCTTAGGGTGCTCTTTCCTGAGTCCACTTCACATTTTTTTTCTATGACTACATGTCATTTATAAATTCTTCATGCTTGCCAAATTCTAGGATCACAGTTCATTTTTAGATTTCTTGTATGTTACTCACTCAACTGTTTTTGTCATTGGAGTAAAAAACATAACTGTCGTGTCTCACCAAATCATGTCACATCTTCAGAGCAGTTAATGACTGGAGGGAGGAAACATTAATTTCTCAATATAGCATGAGCCTAACAAATTAAAAATTATAGAGTGCTGTGTGATTTTTCACTTATTTCAAAATCCTAGGCCAATGCCAACTGTTCAGCTCTGGCAACTTTGTTATTTTCTAATAAAGCTCAAGTAATTAGAGGCTTAGAGTCCTAAGTCTTCAAAACTATTTCACTAGTTAATAATAACCAAAGTCAAAGTGCCTAGGGAATGTCATTTTCACCTTCAGCCCGTATTTGAGTGGTATTTTTCTTGTCATTTGCCATAGACTAAAAAATATTATTTATGTGTTTGTTTCAAGTTATAAAAGATTTTTGTTGGTGTTTTTAGCATTTAAACTTTTGGGGAAGTTTTTCTTGATCGGGCTGGGGATTTTGTCTTGTGTTTTTGCTTTTGAGAGCACTGAATTATTCTAAAGAAAGAATATAAATGAAGGCTGCCTATCTACAAGTTAAAATGGGCCCCTAGAGGAAGAGGGATAGGAGAGAAAGCTATACAACATCTACTCTATTAATAATGGAAAGACTGACTTCCTTTGGTGGCAGTGAGTCTCCACATATCTGGGTTTGGGTCAGAAGATCACCATAGTGTGTGTGTGTGTGTGTGTGTATTTTTTTCCTTCTGGTGATGTTCCAAAGAAGAGGAAAATCCTTGGACAATCTCTTTTACTGTCCTAAAGAATGCTATCCTTTTTATTCTTTTTAAAAATTTACTTATTTTATTTTATTTTTAAAAGATTTTATTTATTTAGTTGGGAGAGAGAGAGTGAGAGAGAGAGAGCAGGAGCAGGGGGAGGGGCAGAGGGAGAAGCAGGCTCCCCGCGGAGCAGGGAGCCTGATGAGGGGCTCGATCCCAGGACCCTGAGATCATGACTTGAGCCGAAGGCAGACGCTTAACTGACTGAGCCAGTCTGGCGCCCTTATTTACTTACTTTAGAGAGAGAGAGAGAGAACATGATTGGAAGGGCAGAGGAAGAGAGAATCTCAAGCAGACTCCACACCCAGCATGGAGCCCAACGTGGGGCCCAGTCCCACCACCCGAGATCATGACCTGAGCCAAAACCCGAGAGTAGGACGCTCAACTGACTGAGCCCCCCATGAACCCCTGCTCTCTTGGTATCTATTTTCCTTGTAATAGATTTTGTTTTTCCAATTTAAGAGTGAAGAAACTGTGGCTTTTGACTCTCCCTTCCTGTTAAGGGCCTAGGATGGTGCTTCACTAAGTCTCTGAGTCTCCTGAGAGATATAAAGAGAGAGTCTGGTGTAGAGGAAAAAGGACTGGATGAGGGGTCAGGATACCTGGGTTCTGGGCTACCTGTGGGGTTTGAGGCAAATGATTTAACCTTATGAGCCTCTTTTCCTCATCTGCAAAATGGGCCTGAAGATATCTGTCCCCTCTCCCACACTGCACTGCTGTGTGAGGGGACACAAGGCAGTGGTTTCGATCGCTTTTTGGGGGATTTGCCAAGAAGGCCAAGATACCAATCTCTCAGGCCCTGGGAGCAGTGGGCTGGGCCTGGGGGTGGCTAGAACCTCCTGGGTCACCTGGCTGGGCCATGAGCATCCTCATTTGCTGTGAGTGCTACGGGGTGGACTGAACATTCTTCACTAAGTCCCTCACCAGCTCAGTGGGGTGTGGACACTAAATGTTGGAAAGAAGGGATGAAGGGGCAGGTGGGAGGTGCACGTTGGTGGGCGGGTAGGTCTGAGACTGTAGAGGATTCTACAGCAGAAGTTAGTTTTGTCTTGGACCTAACACCTTACTCCAGCCATTCAGCTGCTCTCGAGGGCCCGTGTGTCCCCTCTGTTCCCTCATAGGTTCCCCTGCCACGGCAGGTGTTGCCACTCTGTCCTCCCTCACCCTTCCCTCCTCCTGCACGGTTGTTATGCCAGTGCGGTTTTGGTTAGAAAATCAGTTGTTAGGCATTTACACTCATTTAATTTCAGCTATTTTAACTTTAGACACTGCTTTTTAAATTTTTTTTTGTCTCAGAAAACCTTTTTAAAAATTAACCTTCTGAAATGTCAAAAATTGATATATGGCTATAATTACAAAATAGACCTATTAATTATGTTTGTTGTTGATCATCTGTCTTTTCTCCAGTTGAGTGTAACTCACAGGAGGTTGCTACTGGCTTTATTCACCATGTATCCCAAGCCTGGCGCATAGTGGGAGCTCAATAGATATATGTTGAATATTGAATGACTTGATTAAAGATCTCATTCCTTGTTTTCTCTTCACCCTGTAGATGTTTATTCTTTTCAAGAAGAGGAACCTGTTTTGGATCCTCATTTGGCCAAGCACTTAGCGCATTTTGGAATTGATATGCTTCATATGCATGGGGTAAGAAGGTCCACTTCGTCTGTATTCCTCCCTTGCAGGGAGGGAACACTTTGGTTTCTTTAATATGTAATTGCTGTAACAGGAATCTTACTTTTATAGGTTTTAGGTTTTAATGTTTGCATTTACTCCTTGAATTTAATTAATTAACATTTTCTTTTGGTTACCAGCTTACATTTTTTTTTTTTAAGATTTTATTTATTTATTCATGAGAGACAGAGAGAGAGAAGCAGAGGGAGAAGCAGGCTCCCAAGGAGCAGGGAGCCCGATGCGGGACTCGATCCCAGGACCCTGGGATCATGACCTGAGCCGAAGGCAGACGCTTAACCATCTGAGCCACCCAGGCGCCCACATTTTTTTTTTAATGTTATAATGAAAATGGCACCTCGTCAAGTACCATTTGTTTTAGTTGGAGTTTACTCGTAAAATTTCTGTCTCCTTTGATGGAGAGTTGCATGAATCACTCCTTGTTCACTGAAGCGAGAAAGTACGGGAAGATAACCTTTAAAATTATCTGTGACCGACATCACTTTAATTAATTTCAGGAAGGGAAGCAGAGCTCGGGGGTGGAAAGAATAAGCCAACATATTGTTGTTGATGGGAAAAGCTTTGCTTCATTTAATATTGTGTTTTCAAGCTGATATCATGACTATGTAAAGTCTGTGCCTGTGAGGAGCTGCTTCAGTGTGTGCGCTCCGCTCGGACCCTTCCCTCCCAGCCTGTCTCCCTCTCCTCGGGCTCTCCTCCCCTCCATCTCCTTGTCCTCACTCATGTCACCCTTCAAGGCACTTCCAAGCCCCATGATTTTCCTTCACTTTCCTCTCCAGTGGCCTTGCCTTTCTGTTTGCTGGGTTGCACTGGAAAATACAGTTTTTACTGTATTTTACAATAATTACTCTACTAACTTCTTTCTTTCTGTTCCTATTTGTCTTTCTTCCTCCTATCTCCTTTCCCCTTGGTTTCTCTCTTTCATATTTAAGTCTTTTAAGTGTGTATATTTACTGTGGAAAGACATACATAACATAAAATTTACCATTTTACTATTTTTAAGTGTGCAGTTCTGTGGCATTAAATACATTGACATTTTTGTGCAGCATCGCCACGTCAGTCCCTTTAATTAGGTGATTTTTCTGCTTATCTTGGGGAACAAAGGGGCAGAAACATTCATTGCTGTTAGAAATAGTTCTTGGGACATGGGCTTTGGGTGATAATTACAACTAAAGTTGGTTTCCTTCAATGACTTTGCCCCAGACAGAGAATGGGCTTCGGGACAATGACATCAAGCCGCGGGTCAGTGAATGGGAAGTGATCCAGGAGACGGGGACGAAGCTGAAGCCCATGTATGGCCCCGGGTACACGGGTCTCAAGAATCTGGGCAACAGCTGCTACCTGAGTTCTGTCATGCAGGCCATCTTCAGCATCCCAGAGTTCCAGAGAGCGTAAGTGTCCCCCCGCAGAGCTGGGCGCACAGCGCTGCCCTTTGTCCGCCCCCGGATGTGCAGGGGAAGCTCGTCTTCATCAGCTGCAGGACATGCCACCGTATCCGTGTGGTGTGACTTCTTGCACTGAAGCTGGGTGAGAACACTTGTCAAGTGTTATGGGAATCAGGTGAGATTAGGAGAGCTTTGTAACTGAGAAACTTACCGGGGCTTGTCGTATTAATAATGGCTTCCGTTTTTAGACCTTCAATCCCCCTCTATGCCAAGAAAATATTAATCATCCATCTTCACAGCACGCCTGACACATTCCTTCTATAGATATGCTAGGAGAGATTCAGTGATTGGTTTGGTCAGTGTTGCCCTCCTGGTGAGTGGAGTTTCTTAGAGGAATTAAGCTTTGTGTTATTCACTACTCAAAATGTGGTTCGCGGACTGGTGCTGGTCCTTGGACTGCTGGGTATGGATGTGTGATAACTATGGAAACGGAGAGGGGGCATGTGGAAATTTTTGTAGCAAGTCTACATTGTCATGCTTTATAAGTGGCATTTCATTTTTTGAATTACTTTTATTATATATCTTAAAGGAGACATCTGTATGAGTTGAAATAAACGGAAAAGCTGGCCCTTCGCCACAGATAATCAGGAGGCACTGATGGAGGATGTTTCCTAAGTGTGTGTGTACGAGGCTGCCTCCTTCCTCCCACACGGAGGGCAGAGCGGCTATGTCTTGTGGCCCTTCTCTTCTCTGGGCTGGGCTTAGAGGGGGTGCTGCACAGACCGGGACCGAGGCTGGTGCACTCGTGGGCAGCCACTGCCTGAAGTTCAGAAAATTATCTCTAGTGTATTCCAGAGCGGGTTGGTTTCCACCATGGTTCAAGTTTGGAAGAGGACACACTGACCCACCGATGGAGGGGCAGACAGCCTGCTGGGAATAGCCCAGGGCAATGTTTTAGCCCTGTGGAGTTGAAATGCTAATGGCTTTCATGGTAGCTAATCAAAAGTATATCAGACACCCTTTTCTTTTCTCTCTTGGTATTTGAAGACTTACTTTTCTTGCTGTTTTCCGGCTTTGGAAATTTATGGCCAGTTTGCATGTCTAGTTTTCATTTTCTCATCCAGCCAATGAAGAGTGGGTTCTGCTCTGCTCAGCAGGGTGCTGGGTGGGGAGGGGGTTCAGTGGTGAACAAAAGGACTTGGTGCCTGGTTCCACTTGTGGAAACGGACAGTGAACAAATGATCAGAAGAACAACTTCATGGTTATAAACATGGTAAGTTCCATGAAGGAAAAGGGGAAGAGATGGTCAGGGAGGATCTCTTTGAAGAGAGGGCACACAAAGGGACACACACCTTGACTGATACGCAGAAAGACTGGGGATAGAGGGTTTTGGACAGAGAAAGAGCAAGTTTGAACCTCTGAGATGGGAGCACTTTTTCAAAGATATGCCTCACACATCGTATTTTTTTTTTTTAAAGATTTTATTTGGGAGGGGAGGGAACGCAAGCGGGGGGAGCAGCAGAGGCAGAGGGAGAAGCAGGCTCCCCACTGAGCAGGGAGCCTAACATGGGGCTCGATCCCAGGACCCTGGGATCATGACCTGAGCTGAAGGCAGACGTTTAACCGACTGAGCCATTTAGATGCCCGACACATTGTATTATTTTTATAAATTTTTGCCCATGTCTCATACTTGTATTATTATTTGATTGGGGAACAGTGTAACTTCATCTTACGTTTCTCGTGGTCCCTGATTTAAATAAAAAAAATATTGAAGGAAAGGCCTTGCGGTAGATGTTGTATAACTATTATTTCTTTTAAACTAGAATGGAGGGAACTTGTGTTCTTTGGTTACAAAACCCAACAACTGTTTCGGTGCCTTACGGTCTATAGGTTTTGAAAATGCTCTCTATCCTCCAAAGTTTGACGAACAGTCATATTTCTGAATTTTTTTCTCTAGTGAAAAAAGGTACCTCACGTCTGTGTTTTGGATTTAAGATTCACATATCTCCCTTCAGTGTTGTTTCAAGAGTCTCAGAATTGTATATTACTGAATATTTAATATTCTATTTTCTAAACATTTACTGTGTATATTAGAACATGAGCAACCTACTCATAATACTTGTCCTCAGTCTGTTCGTTCTTTTACCAAACATCACTTGATTGAAATACTTGCTCTTCAAACTCCTTTCTCCCCAGCAGGACTAACTCTCAGTGGAGTTGGGTCCAGGAGCAGTGTCTCCATTTTATAAGTAGAAAGAGTGACTCATGGAGAGATTAAATGGCTTACGCACAACCAGAGTGTAATTCGGAAATGTCAGCCTGACTCTGTGATACCCTGCCTGCCACTAGAACCCGGTTTACATTTCAGAATAATTCTGATGCTGATCAAATCGAAATAAATGGTGTATAAATTGATTGAGAGCTAAGATGGATTGTCAGATAGCAAAACTACTTTTTTGAGAACCACTAGACTGCAAACTGAAGTCACAATACATATTTTAAAAAGTATCTAGCATTACTTCTGTGTTTTAATTTAACTTTGTTGTAATGAAGAATAGTCCTCGTCATTTAGAAAAGTAATAGAAATTACTAGCAAAATGGACTTTTCTGACATCAAAGATTTACCACCTTTAATTTTTCATTTTTCTCCACCAATCTTGCCTGAAAGCATAAGCCTCACTAATGTTCATCTTCCCAGTGAGGTTTTCTTATCTGGTCAGCTTTTGAAATACGATAAAGACTGGCTTGTAAGAGAGCTAATGAGTTCATCATGTTGTATATTAACAGTTCCTCTGTGCAGTCTCTGGCTGTGGATAGTTTGGTTACAAAGTTTGGTTGATCTCTTACTTGGTCCACTGAAAATTTCTAGATGACATATCTAAAAGCCATTTGAAAGGGCCTGTCCCAGAGAAGTGGGCTCTGTTAATTTTGACAAAAGTACATAATCTGGGGTACAAATTCTGAGTTTGTAGATAGCAGGTGCCTGCAAGTGTCCGGTAGTAGAGGTCATTGCTAACTACTAGTGTGTCGTGGTTCTCTGCTAGGGCTTTGTCGCAGTAATGCCTTTTCTGTTGGTTTATAGGTAGTCAGTTATGGAAGTTGGTTATATGATTACATTATATGAATGTATTCACTCAACAGATGTTTTTTTAGTGCCTTTTACACGTCAGATGCTATTCTAGTGCTGGAAATGCAGTAATTTAGAAAATGTATCTGCCTTCATGGAGATTATACTCCAGTATATAATCTCTAGAGAGATAATCAACAAGGAGATAAATTATAAAATTGCAAATACTGATGCATGCCAAGAAGAAAGTCAACCAGGATCAGGTGATGGGGAATTAGGAGAGGTGGGGAGGTGCCTTTTAAACAGATCTGAGATGGAGCAAAGGTCTGTGGAGAGAACATTCCAGGAAAGAGATAGCAGATGGCATGACCTTGAAGCAGGTGTGAGCTTGGCATGTCCTGGCAAAGAAGGACACGTGGCCGGGGTGCTGTGGACTAGGGAGAGGGATGGGAATGAGGTCAGAGAAGTGGGCAGAGCAGGGTGCATGAAGTGCCAGGGAAAGGGATGTGCTTCTGGATTCTTCTCTCTAGAGCTTTCACGCTCAGAGAGTCAAAGCCTGAAGACGGAAAGATGAACAGCACAAAGCAGGGGGTATGAAATAGGAAATGAATTTACGAAGTGAAAGGAATGATTGTACATTGAGGTTAGAGATGGGTGGTGGAAGTTGGCACTGCTCTGTCAAGGTAAACTGGTCAGAAGGAGGGGCTGGGGCCTGCTCAAGGGAGCACGGACAGGGCAGAGTGGTTCAGAGCAGGGGTTTGGAGCCAGGCTGCCTGGGTGCGCTCTGGGCTTCATCACTCCTTCCTTGGGTAACTTTGGAAGCATGCTGATTTCTCATCTCTCCAATGGGTAACCATAACCATCCCTTCCTCATATGGTTGTAATGAAGACCCAACCAGATTATACAGAGAGCCCTCAAGAAGTGGTAGTCGTCACTGCTATTATCATCAGTATTCATTTTGATACGATTGGCATAATTCCTAGTCTTACCATTCATTTATTTTTATTTTTATTTTTTATTTGATGGAGAGAGAGAGAGAGTGAACACAAGCAGGGGGAGTGGCAGGCAGAGGGAGAGGGAGAAGCAGGCTCCCTGCTGAGCAGAGAGCCCGTTGTGGGGCTCGATCCCAGGACCCTGGGATCATGCCCTGAACTGAAGGCAAATGCTTAACCAACTGAGCCACCCAGGCGCCCCTTACCATTCATTTTTGAGATGGTAATTGAGATGGCGTAAACTGGTGGTTCTTGATTCTGGCTACATGTTATAATCACTTGGGGGACCTTGAAAAGATTGCAGATCCCAGGCCTCAGTCTCAGGCAATGACATCAGAACATCTGGGGGTAGCTTTGGCTTTGGTGTTTTTCAGAGAAACTCTATAAGTGATTCTAACCTGCACCCAGGGTGGAGACCCACTGATAGAAGCACAAACATTTTAGGGAGGCCCATGAATATGGCTGCAGAGGTAGGATCTCAGGAAAAGTTTTCTTTAGGTGGATGATTTAACTTTGATAGAAAGGCAAGAAGGTCTTCGCTAGGATGGCAGCTTACTTTGTTTCTCTTCTTCCGGTTCCTATGTTTTGACTCTCCCTTCTCATTTTCTAGGTATGTAGGAAATCTCCCAAGAATATTTGACTACTCTCCTTTAGATCCAACACAGGACTTCAACACACAGATGTAAGTGCTGATTGAAAAGTATCTAAAAGTTTTTTAGAAAAGTATCCAGTAAGTGTTCATAATGGTTATTGCTGGGTTGCAGAATTAAAGGCAATTATCTCTTTTTTAAAATTTTCTGTATTAAAAGTGTTCTAAAATGAGCACATGTTACTTTTGTTAAGAAGAAAGATATTAATAGTTATTTATAAAGTACTGAGGATGGTCTGAAATGGCATCAGTTATCAAGAAAAATCAAATAAATAAGTTATTTTTGAGTAATCAAGATAAAATGTTCCACCTGAAAGCATTCATAGGTAATGTTAATGTCTCTGTGGGGAAAAAACAATGACCTTTTTGTTTTTCTTTCTCCCTCCTGTCCAGGACTAAGTTAGGACATGGCCTTCTCTCGGGCCAGTATTCAAAACCTCCAGTGAAATCTGAACTCATTGAACAGGTGATGAAGGAGGAACACAAGGTATGTGTCCCAGTATTTGCCATGTTGATAGGTAGGTAGGAGGATCTTTACCAGCTAGAATGTGGATTTCCTATGATTTGGCACATGGTAGCTATAAATTTAACAAGCTGTCAGAATAGCTATTTCATTTTGGAGTCTAGGGTGTCTGTGTGCTCTTAAAAATTGTGGTAAGTAATAGCTAGGGTTGGTGTTTCTAGTGACAGTTGCTTTATGGATTATATGTGAGTGTCATCATTAATGGTTTTCAGAACAATGTTCTTCATAAAATAGAGCTGAGATGGAAAGAGTAAGCCTTACACAAATATAAACATTTTCTCCTTGGTAACATAATCTTGGCCCTTATAATATCTTTCTTCTCCTAAGTCTCAACTTTGTTTGCTAGGATTTTTCAAGAAGCTGGTTGTTAAAAAACAACATACACATTCCTATTCTACCCCCTTCTCCACCCCATTCCAACCTCCAGAGCTGAGGATTCTGAGTTTCTGGAGAGGTCTGGGCAATCCTCATTTTTGGTAAGCTGCTAGGGGGTTTGTCAAAACACTCAGGTATGAGAAACTCAGTTGGCCATTCAGTCACTGTTTACTGATAGAATAACTGAAAGGTGCACTCCATATCCTGATAGCCAGACTTGCATTTCCATGTGCCTGCAGAGTGGGCTACTGACCCCTCCCTGGGTGGCTCTGTTGCACAACTCCAGAGGGCACTGCTCACAACCTGGTCTTTTTTGAGTGGTGCCCTTGAAATTCTGCAGTGCCCAGATTACACAGCTGTATTTGGCAGGCTGGCTCGTAATGTTGCCTATGGCCTGAATGGAGTGCGTGCCCCTTTCCCCCACCACCTGCTCTGACCTCAGAGTGCTCTGACTTGACTTAGTGGACAGAGCTCAAGTGTTGGCCTCTGTGCTCCCACCTCAAGTCAGCCATCCTTAACTAGATCGACAGCAGGAATGGAAGGTGAGTAAACTCTTGTTCATAATGAAGCCAGCTAGTTGGGGAAATGAAGCAACTGAGAGAAGGGAGAGTATGAAGGGAGCATTTAGAGGCAGTGTTTGGAGATGAGGAGTAGGAAGGGGCTGAAGAGGGTAGAGAGGGAAGTAGACACTCCAAATGGCCAGGCTGGGAGATCAGAGTGGTGTGGGGGCCAGAAGATGCATTGCCATCCAGCGTGGCAAGGTACCAAGTTCCTTATCCATCCAAGACTGGAAGGCCCTCATCTGGGACGCAGTTGAAGGGCTGGTTTGGGTGTGGGTGGGGTATGGGGGCATCCAGGCTTCTACCTCTGAGCTCCTGTGAAGCTTTGAAGAGGTGTTGGTGAAAACAGCTTGGACCAGCATTTTCTTTTCATCACATTTAGCTTGGGTTTTCATCCATGCTATGCCACTTCTTGGGCCACTTTTGGGTCAGAGCCCACCTTCCTTGGTGGAGGAGAAGGAGACTGGATTGGGTCTCAGGGACTCTGGGATTCCTTTCCAGGCTCTGTAAGGAGCTGTGAGACTGTGGGCAAGTCACGTCAACTTCCAATCCCAGCAGTCAAATGGCAGAATTTGTCCAGGTAGTGGTTGTGAATGTTGCAAGTGTGAAGGTTCTCTCTCCCATGTAAATAAAATCTGGGTATATTACGTACCTGTGGTTGTGTTTTTGGAATCTCCTCATTTGAGAAAATATGGAATGAAAAGTCATCAATTTGGTGATGTTTGTAAGTAAAGTTTGGTTTTGTTAATATTAAAATGTCCTTTTACATTAGAATAAAAATAGGTTTTTTTTAAAGATTTTATTTACTTATTTGACAGAGTGAGAGTGAGTATAAGTGGTGGGGGGCAGGCAGAGGGAGAAGCCGGCTCCCCGCTGAGCAGGGGCCCGACGTGGGGCTCGATCCTAGGACCCTGGGATCACGACCTGAGCCGAAGGCAGCCTCCCAACCAACTGAGCCACCCAAGTGCCCCCAAAATCATTCTTATATGAGCAAGGCACATTATTTATTCATTCTATGAACAATGACTACTTGGGGCCCTTGCCCCCTCCTCACCATTGGGCTTAGTGACTATTGTGCAGTAGCTTTGTGATGTCTAGGGGCCTGAAGCCTACATGTGGAAACTCTTGCTTTGTGTGGCCCAACATGGGTAATCTGGCAGCATTTGGGCCATATTTGGCCTGTAGGTGTGTTTTGCTTGGCCCATACATAAATATCTAAATTTCCAGCCTCTCTCTCTCTCTTTTTTTTCTTTGAGAGAGAGTGAGTGCAAGTGGGGGGAGAGGGACAGGGGGAGAGGGAGAGAGAGAATCTTAAGCAGGTTCCATGCCCAGCACGGAGCCCGATGCAGCGCTCGATCTCATGGCCCTGAGATCATGACCTGAGCCGAAACCAAGAGTTGGATGCTTAACTGACTGAGCCAACAAGGCACCCCAGAACTTCCAGGTTCTCTTAAACAGTCAGACCCTGTGGCAGTTCCAGGCCCATGATAGCAGATGGCTGGAGCTGAGTAGCGGCCCTCCCTTCAAATAGGACACACAGTCCCCGGCTGGCTCCAGTCCCTTTGTGATTCATGACTTGGCAGGTACGCTATTGTATTTGGGTGTGTGACCTTTGGTTTAGATGATCTGTAAAATCCTTTCCTGCTCTATATGCCATGATCTAGTGGTCTTTGAGAAAAAATCCTGAATGTGACCAGTAGTACGGTGTGCATCTTGGGAGTGGTGGGAAAGACCTTTCTAGGTGGGTGGGGTATGAGTGAGTCTTTGGCTCAGGCATCAATAGGGTCCCTTTAACGTTCAAAATGAGCTTGAGATGACCATATGATTTTCTTTGTGGCTCTGGAGGAGTCAGTTTTAATCTGTTACGTGAACAGACAAGTAATTCATAGTAAAATCTCCATTCCCCTTGACAGTGGAGGGAATTACTTTCTGAGGCGTCAGGATTTTCACTGGCAATTGGTTTCAGAGAAACCAATTTGTGAGACTCTTTCTTCTCTCAGTGGTCAGGAGCCCTTTGGTCAGGTGGCCTTGTCCTGGGCCTGTGGCATTTGTGATTGGTAATGTGCCTGAAATGCTCTAAGAGAAGAAAGAAGGTGTGCTAAACCAGAGAAGGGGATGGATCACAAGAGGAATGTAGGGCGGAAGGGAGAGAGAGCAAGAGAGAAGAGTCAGAGCCATGTGGTGGGAGTGCCTTTTTTGGGGCCCCCACCAGCAGCGGTACAAATAACTAAGATTGCTTATGAAAGGCCAGGTTCTTTCTGCATGCTCACTAATGCACAAAAAACCTTGCCTGAAGTTCCACAGCCAGCGAGTGGCAGGGCTGGGATTCACACCAGGCAGGCTGGCTCCTGAGTCTGCTTTTGACCTCTTCACGATCCTGCTTCCCTGACAGTTGTTCCAGCATTTGCTTCAGGTGTCCAGTGCCTCGGAGTGTGGATGGTGCAGGCGGATGACAAAAGAGGGTCCTTAAAGTTTGCACAATTACCAGGTGGCCCCGGCAACTTATTTCCCAATGCCTCTGTCTTGCATTTCTAGGCTATGTGCTTCCCGGTGTTAAACTGGTCTTCCACAGACCAAGGTGAAATCTTGTTTTTATATATGCATGCTTAATGCACATTTTCATCTGTAAAAAGATTTGTGGTATTTGTTTTGGGCACTGCCGTTTCTACATAAATGTGTTGAATTGATTTTTAAAATTAAACTGCATCTGCAGTAGATAAAACCTCTCACTATAAAGGGGCACTTTTCTTTCTTCAAAAAATATATTCCTGTCTTATGCAATCTGAGACCACGCTTTCACACTTTTTAATGCCGAATACTCTGTAATTTATTTCTCCTTCTAGAGATAACATGTTTGAAACAATTCTATATTTCAAACAAACTGTATTTCTTAAGTGACATTCATTTGATTTCCCCACTAAAAAATCCTTGACGCATAATTGCTGGTCTCAGTTTTTGATCAACATGAGATAACCAGTGTTTGACTTTGAGGTGATGTAATTTTACCCCCAAACATGAGAACTTTATTTTCACTAATCTCCATTTTCCTAGGTGCGGCAAATGTAACATTTCTAACTCAGTTTTTGAAATAAGAAAAGTAACTTGGGGAATGCACTCTGTTCCTTTGGCTTTGGAGATTTGGGGTTTGGATCTAGTTAGGAACTGGGTTAGATCCAAGGTTTATGGTTTAAGGTTAAACGTTGAAATGAACAGATGCCATACATCCGTGTATTAGGGGCAGGCTGGGATGCGTCTACCTTTCTTTTTATTCCTGGAGTTTTACAATGTAAATATCTGTGCAGGTATTGCTCTTTAATGTGGTACAAAGCCCCACTTTTGCTGTGTGTGTATTAATTAAAGCATTAGGCTCAGAGGAATGTGAGCGAGGAGTGTCTGGCCACCTTCTTAGTGCAGAGTTAAACAGAAAGTCCTTGTAAGCATTTGGGAAAGAGTCTGAACACCGTAGCCCTTTTGCTAATTTTAGCTGATCTGTTTTGCAATTGCTGATGGAGAAAGTAAGTACAGTATCCTATAAATATGACAGGTTCCTTAGGTGGTTGCTATTTTGGAGATGCCAGGGGCTCCCTCCTAATAAAGGTAGTGGTCGGGACTAGCCATGGTTTCAGGGATAGAGGGGTCGGCTCAGGGGTGAGAGTGTGTGCTTCCTGAAGGCAGGTCTGGCTCTTGGTCCAGTCTGGTCACCCCCTGTCCTCGAGTGCGACAACAGACCCATAGGGGACTTTGGGAGGATATCACTGACGCATTGCCAACTAGGAAACATGGTTTCTTTGACTAAGTTCTTTGGTTCTTATTTTGACTTTTGGTTTAAGTATTAACTGCCTTATTCAGAGCCTGGTCATTAAATTTTTTTTTTTTTCCATTTGCAAATACGCATACAAGTAGCTTTGTGTAGCTTTAGCAATTGCCGTTCTGCGCATTTGGTTTCAGTAATGCCCCCTAGGCTCAACTTTTCCTTCCCCTTCTCTTCCTCTGTCCTCCCCTTCCTGTCCCTCCGCTTCCCTGCAGCGTGTTAACACAAAATCCAAGCATCCTCCTTGTCACCTGTAAACGTTAGCACACATCTGTGACTAGAATACCTTTTTTTTCCCCACATAAAAATCATGTTAAAAGTTGTTTCAAGTGTTAGAAGCACACCAACAAAGTTAATAACCATTCCTCAGCATCATCCAATACCCAGTCCGTGTCCACATTTTCCCCTGCGGTGTCAAAGATGACTTTTATAAGTCCCCCTCCTTTTCTTTCTGCGAGCTATTGATTTGTGGAAGGAGCTGAATCATTTGCCCCAGGATTGTTTTAAAGATTTCTGCCTTGTTCAGCTTGTGTTTCTGATAAGCTGGAAGCTGGATCTGGAAGGCTTTCTACTATACCAGATACGAAGGGAACGTACTATTAGTTGAGTACGGGAATTAGGGGGACTTCCTCTGCAATCAGGTAGAATAGGCATGGGACATGGGTGCAGGCAGCCAGCCCAGCTGATGATCAAGGCATTAACTGTGGAGTAGTCTAGTTTGAACTAAACAGCTCGAATCCAGCTGTGAAGTTCAGGAGCTGGTCTGCAGTGTGACGTGGGGAGGGAGAGAGCATCTCTCTGGTTAGGAAGCCTTTTCAAATAACTTCCCAATGATTAGCAGTTCTCAAGCTATAGCTTGGCAGAAGATTGAACAAAGGATTAAGGAAGGTCAGTTGAGAGAAAACAAGGAAATGAAATGGGTAGAGAAAGAAAAGAGGTGTGGCTAGTGAAGGAGGCTGGGCACAGTCCAGGTTCGGGGCTGAGGTTCTGGGGATTTCACCACAGTCCCTGTTGAGACTCCTTCCAGTTACACGACCACATGGTGGCAAAAATCAGCAGCCGACTTTTCTGAATTTCCTGACTTGTTAAACTTCCCAAGGCAGCTGCTTTGATGGGGACTGGCAGCCACATCAAGCTGAAGCCCGGCTTGCAGGAAGAAATGTCATCAGCAGCAGAGAAAGAGTGTGTGCTTATGTGAAGGCCTAAAGAGAGAGGCACAAGGTGAAAAGATGGATTCCACGTGGTGCCCCTGCACTGCCAAGGGTGGAGGAATAGTTGCTGGACTGACCGTAATGTTGGCTCCAGAGGCACGTGGGTTTGAAGAGAGCTTACTCAGAGTCCAAGACATACTGTCTCCCTTTCTCAGCAACTGGTGAGGGGGACTCAGGGCCATCAGAGATGAGAACTAGTGTGTGAAAGCGGTATTACGACATGGGATAAAAAGAGAGAGACAGACAGACACACAGAGACAGACAGCGAGACGGAGGGACAGCAAGGGACTGACTTTTGTAGCTGTGTGATGCTGGGCCAGCTACTTAACGCTGCTTTGCCTCAGTTTCCTCACCTGTCAAGTGGAGACAATCATCATCATCAGTCATTATCATCAGGTTAAGTGAGTTAAGCAAGATACATGTATTACAAGGTACTCAGAACTGTGCCTGGCACCTAGTAAGTATTCACCCAAGTTCCTAGAATAATGTCTGACATGGATGAATAAATGTTAGCCATTATGCAAAGGCATTATTTTTGCATGCTTGTGTTGGCTGATGCAATGCAGATAGGCATCAGCAGTGTGAGTGAAGAGAGTTACAGTTGTTACATCGTTTTCAGGAGGTGTATATACAGGTAAAATTAATTATCAGGTATATAGTGGTCTTTACCTAGCATTGGAAGCACATCTGAAGACAGGCGTGTGTGCAAGCTGGGCCACTTATGTATAGTTTCCACGTCCTCGGATGCCCACATGCTGCCGCTTTGGGGCGTTGTCCTCTAAGAGCTCTGGACACTGTTCCAGGTCCTGGGCAGCGTCCCCCAGCATTTGCCATAGATACATGTGTTGTCTCTCATTTCCCCATGGTCTCTCAGCTCTCCAAGGGCAGAATCCCCAGTGGTCTGCGTGAAGTAGGTGGTTAGTAAATACTGGATGACAAAGTCAGGTATGTATTCAGCAAGACGGGACAATTCAACCGAGTTTTATTAGAAACATTGCTTGGAACATATGTGCTGGGGAGCTGCAGGGAGGTGCATAACGGAGTTTTCCCATCCCCTGTTGCATTTGACTGTGTAATTGTGCACACCTCCTGTGGTCTCTGGACCCTAGCTATAAAATGAGGATAACGGTAGTACCTTCTCTGCAGGGTTATTGTTGAGTATGAAATGAAGTGACAGGTAACACTATTATTAGATGCGTGAACTTGGAGGGGACTCAGGAATCAGCTTTATCATGAGCCCATTTCCGTCCTCAGTGACGATGTGGACTCATCCCACTCTGCTTCTTCAGAGCATTGCAGACAGATTGCTTAGATTGATTTCCAGTGATTTCCTGGAGATTACCAGCATTAAAAAAGTCCAGTTCACATCAAAGGCAGCTTAAAGCTTCTCTCCCCTACCAAGCTCGGGGGTCTTGGAAACCAGCGGTGCGCAAGGGTTAGCATCAGCGTCCTCTGGCCCCACCAAAGTCAAGCAAGGACCACGAGATGGAGACATTAGACAAGAGGCAGAGCCTTTCGCTAGGCTAGGGCGTTTGGCTCCCTCTTGGCTGCCATGGCTAGCTTTTTGTAGGGGCACATTAGTGGCTCTGTAGGGATGTCCCTCTTCCCTGCTTGTCCCCTTAGGGACCTCCCTGGGACCTCTCCCTGATGCTCTGTCCAGCTGACCTCTGTAGCCCCCACCTCGGCTCCTGCCTCAAGTCTCCTCCGCCAGCCGACCTTCCATCGTCTTATGCAGTGTCCTTTCTGAAGGAGCCTGACAACCTTCTGAGCTATCCTTCCGGTCCCCGGGGGAGTTCGTATATCCTTGTCCTCCAGAGTTGTCCCTGCCACCCGCTCTTCCTGCTCTGTCATCCTGGCATCTGCTGCCACCCTCCTCCAGCGTCTCCAGGTGAGGGGCAAGCTCCTGGGAACAACCGTGCTCTGATCCAGAGACAGCCCAGGGCAGACGCGTGAGCCCGAGCACCTCTGCAGTGGTTACCGGGGATGTGTGGTTTCATTTCCTGTTCTTGCAAGGACAGCAAAGGGGCTGTTGCAGTCAAGTGAGCCAAATGAATTTTTTGGTTTCCTAGTGCATATAAAAGCGATGTTTATGTGATACTGTGGTCTATTAAGTGCGCAATAGCGATGTACATACCTTAATTAAAAACACCTTATTGCTGAAAAAGGCTGACCATCATCTGAGCTTTCAGTGAGTTGTCATTACTGACCACAGATCACCCTAACAAATACAATAATAATGAAGAAGTTCGAAATATTTTGAGAATGACCAAAATTTGACACACAGACACAAAATGAGCAAATGATATTGGAAAAATGGCACCGATAGACTTGCTTCATGCAGGGCTGCCACAAACCTTCAATTTGTAAAAAAATACCACATGGCCAAATCACAATAAAGCGAAGCACAATCAAACGAGGTATTTCTGCATCCGGGTCTCTACTAGGGCTTCTCTCCTGCTCTCTCAGGGGGAAGGAAGGGAGGTGTGGAGAGCGCTCCTCTCCGTTAACTTCCTTCCAAGGACCCACTCATGCTGCCTCTCTAGCCTGCTCTGAAGTGGGCTCTCACAGCAAGCCCTGTGAAGATGGACCTCATAATGCCTTTTCTTAGAAAGTGGGGCTGTTTATCATGTCTCGTTAGTGTGATGCCCGCTCCACAGGAAACATCCAGTGAATGCTGGCTCTTCTCATTGTTTAGCTTCTGTGGGCTTCAGTGGGCTTATCTGAAAATTGGGGCTTATGGTAAATCCCTACTCTGCTGGCTGCTTAGTGCCATGAATGTGTAGGAAAGTGTGGTACATTTGTTTTATTTTTATATTTCAGCCTCAACAGAATGGGATCTCTCCACGCATGTTTAAGGCCTTTGTAAGCAAGAGCCACCCAGAATTCTCCTCTAATAGACAGCAGGATGCCCAGGAGTTTTTCTTGCACCTGGTGAATCTAGTAGAGGTGAGTGAGTCAGTCTTCGGAAATGCTCAAAAGGTGGTAAGAAGGGTGCGCAGTGCCCGGGGACGGTCCCCTCTGGCTGGGTCGGGATGCCCACCCCCAGCCCCTTTCCTGAATTTGTCGCTGTCCCAACTGGTGCTGCATCGGTGTGAGGCTTTCTCTGCTCAGCCCGTGTGGCGTGATCGCTGCTCATGCCCTGTTTTCTAGCACTTCTGGATCTCCCCGTTCTCCTTTTAATTTGTAATTAAAGGAATGTTTGTCCGTTATTTCAGTCAAAGTTCTTTTTGATCTCCGTGACAAAGCTCCTTAAGAGTCCAGTGTGATATTTGGTGTCCTTGTGCCCCCACTCACAGATGGTCACACTTGCCACCACTCAGAGATGGTCACACTTGCCGCCACTCAGAGACGGTCACACTTGCCCCCACTCAGAGACGGTCACACTTGCCGCCACTCAGAGATGGTCACACTTGCCCCCACTCAGAGACGGTCACACTTGCCGCCACTCAGAGATGGTCACACTTGCCGCCACTCAGAGACGGTCACACTTGCCCCAGACGGTCACACTTGCCGCCACTCAGAGATGGTCACACTTGCCCCCACTCAGAGACGGTCACACTTGCCGCCACTCAGAGATGGTCACACTTGCCGCCACTCAGAGATGGTCACACTTTGCTCCCGGCAGAGTCTAATCACATTCCGTGCTGTGGTTCTTTAAAAGCTCCCGAGAATTCGTGATTAAAGCCTTTCTTCTCCCTCTTAAAAAACAACTTCTTTTTTTCTGATTACAAAAATGTTCTCTGTGGAAGATATAAAAAGGCACAAAGGAGAAAATCAAAATAGCCAGTGGTAACAGCCCCTACAAATAAGCAGTGCTACCATTTCGGCGTCTGACCCACCAGACACTTTCCTGGGGCATTTATTAATTCTCTCCATGCTGTTTTATAAGCATTGCTTTCCACTTAACGTGTTGTGAACATTTTGCCACATCATTACATATTTGAATGTAGCGTGATTTCTTTTTTGTGTATAATTTACACCAATGCATTTCCACGACCCCATCATATGTGCCTTAATTTTTGCAGGGCAGTCCTTTACTCTCCCCTCTTCTCTTTAGTCTGGCTCCCTCACCCCCTTTCTTCTGATTCCCGCTGGGTCAGTTCCTCTTTCATAACTGTTAGTGGCTGCATGATGTTCATTCACATGATGAACTGTAGTTTATTTAACCAGTCCCCCGTTTTTGGATATACGCCTGCGTTTTGTTTTTAAAGTACTCTGGTGAACTGCCATGCCCAGAGGGAATGCTTTTTAGTGCCAGATCCTTACACCAGATTTATATATTCTCTTTTTGTGCCAATTTTTATTCACGGCTTAATATTCATACGTTTACTAACCTGATCTAATCTAACCTTCAGAGAAACCGCATTGGCTCAGAAAACCCAAGTGATGTTTTTCGGTTTTTGGTGGAAGAACGTATTCAGTGCTGTCAGACGCGCAAAGTCCGCTACACGGAGAGGGTGGATTACCTGATGCAGTTACCTGTGGCCATGGAGGCAGCAACCAACAAGGGTAATGGTCCCAAAGTGGGAACTTGGCTATGTGCTTCCTCATACGTGCAAACAAACCCTCGAATCAGAGATAACACGGTTTAGTCACTGCTGAGTCGCGTCAGGAGGAGACCCAGCCCAGAGGGTGTCTGGTTCGCATGTCTCTTTCCCTCTTTTCCCCAGTCCCCATGTGCCTTTCTTGTGAGAAGAGTCCGATGCATCACGGGTTTTTGTTTGAGGGATTATGGGTAGAAACTATTTTAGTGCCTATAAATTTGACCAATTGCTTGGCTTGAAGTCAGCTTATTTTGGGGGAACATTATTTGTAATTATAGATGTGGAAAATTCTTTAACATTAGCACTCATGAGTTGTGCCATAAATTCTGGGGGAAATGATCAGCATTTTTCGGGGTGAGACGTTCTAGCAGCGATCTCTTGAAATAATCTGACTTTGGCATCTGAGTATTGAAGACGCCCCCTGTGGGAGATGTAGCAGGGAAGGGCTCTTGTAGGAGAGAGGCCCATTAGAAGGGTCTTTGGACTTTAGAAGCAGGAAGGAGGTGGAGGAACTGCTGGGGTCTCAGGGGAAGGTTCCTTCAGTCAGTCTGTGTGGTTCTTCCCAGGCAGAATAGATGAATGGTATTTCTTAGAATTAACATTTAGAAGCAGAAAAAGGCAAAATGTCTGCTATATTGCTTATGTCCTATGAACTGGTCATTTCTGTAAATGTCAGTAACTCGCTGGGTGGCCTTTTTCCCTCTTTTTTGGGGGGGGTCAGTTTGTTGTGCTAATTGAAAAGCGATGATTATGATGATTTTAAGATGAAACGATTTCCATTTTCTATAAGCTTGTGCAGCTTTTGGCCAGTTTCTAAATTCTTACCCATTGTATAAAGTAGAAATGAGGATAGGGGTCTGTGGTTTGTTTCCTTTTTAGAATTAGGCTTAATTGTTTTCTCTTGCCAGCCTCGGGGATGTTCCACTCAGTTCTGTGATCCTCTCTAACTCACTGTTTATAATTTATGAGTGGTAACTATTCTTTTACAGAAAGATTTATAATTTAGTCCCTGGAAATTGATTGCTGGGACACCTAATACTGGCATCCTAGATATAGGTACATCATAAACTGATTGTGGACTGGACAATGAATTTTAAACCCATATTCAGATGTGCTTAAGAAAACACATAGGTGCATAAGGGTGCCTAAAAACTGATAAATCAGGAGTGATTTTTTTTTTCGTAAACAAAAGGAATTCTCAGAAAGACCTCATCAAAACTATATACAATTTTGACTTATAGGCAGTTTCCAAGAGCAGATCTGCTGACTCCTGGGAAGTTGGTGGTGTGCTGTCTTCTTTTTCCCTTGGTCTTGAATCGTTTGAGCAGGAATCGTGTAGAAAGCCTTCTAGGTTGGTAGCTCTGCTGTCTGACCTTGTGCGTAACCTCAACCTGAACTTGTCTGGGCAGTGTTGGTTAGAATCATGGGCTGAGTGCTGTGGAGGACTGCAGTCCCTCTAGTCCATCTCGCTCCTTGATCTGCACCCTCCATGACCTCTAATCAGAATGGAGAGATGACTCTTGGCTCTCCTTCAGTGTGAAATTCTGTGGTGTGAAGACTTCGTGATTGGAAGGTAGCATTTGGGTAATCCCAGCCTTGACTCTGGACAAATGGAAGACCAGGTTCCCGCATCACTTCCAGCACATGTGAGGTCAGGACCTCCGATCTGGGCTGGAGTTCACAGATCCCTCCTGTCAGTCTCAAAGGCAAACAGGCAAAAAAATATGAATGGCTCATTCAGCCTGTCGGCGCCACCCTAAAGTCAGCTCGAGAACAGCCTTTCAGCAGGCTTTTCTGGATCTGTGAAGGGCAACAAGTAAGCAATCCTGCCCCGGCCCAGACACCTTCAGGAAGATCGGCCCAAGGGGATGTTTTCCGCTTCAAGAAGATGGAGTGAGTACAAACTTATTTGTCTGCTCTTTTACTCAGATGAACTGATTGCCTATGAGTTAACGAGGAGGGAGGCAGAAGCAAACAGACGACCCCTTCCCGAGTTGGTTCGCGCCAAGATACCATTTAGTGCCTGCCTTCAGGCTTTTTCTGAACCGGAAAACGTAGATGATTTCTGGAGCAGCGCCCTACAAGCAAAGTCTGCGGGTGTGAAGTAAGTGCGCATGTGTGTGTGCTTGTGTGTTTGTGCTTATGTGGTGGTAGTGGGGTGAGGAGGGGTCCCTGAGGGGTGTGGACTGGGTAGGGGAGAGGTGGTGGGGTGTTGTACGAGTCTGCGCACGCTTGTTCATGTGTAGTGAGATGGGGTTATGAATCGTGCAACCCTAATGGTCATAGAGCTCACTTGTGTGAGGCCTGTCCAAGAAACCAGGCTTATAATCTGTGTTGTGTGTTAGGGAGGGAATGTCTTCTCTTTTCTTTTTTTTAAAGGAAGGTTGTGGTTTATCCTTTATTAGGAATTTTTTTTTTTGCCAGGAACCCCCAAAACCCCCACCCCCACCACCACATGGCAGGAATGATATTAAGAGATTACAGAAATACTTATGACAGTCTTCAATATTTAAGCTCCACTATGATAGATTTTAATTCCATAATAAAAGATTTGGCTTAGCATGTGGTGACCAGGGCTCTTGGGGCATCTCGAAGTGGACATAGTGGACATTGTTCAGATGAGCTGTTCAGGACGTAGAATATGCTTTGTTTCCACATCGTGCACCTCATTGTCAGGTACATAAAACATTTTTTCTCCACTTGATTAATTGATTTTATACAGTCAAGTCCATGCCAATGCACAGCATACAATTGGAAAAAGAGTACTCATAGAGGCATAAAATGAAGGGAGGTCTGAAAGTTTGGCTCTGGGAATTTTACTCCTTTTAGGTATTCTTTGGCTGTCTGTCTTCCTAGCTAAAGTTGAGCTCTAGTTCATGCAAAGGGGTGTGAAAGCTGAAGAGCTACTGCTAGATGTTTTTTATCACCTCAAGTAGCAATCTGACTTAAATCACTTATTCCCTGCAATAGACATCGCTCAAGATTCCCCTTTGTTTCAGGTGATTTTCATATGTTAAAAATGGGAAAACACAAAGAATTTATTTCAGAAGTTTAAAAAAGGCCGTATTTTCTTAAAATAATTTTTAAAAATGTTGTTCATATCCAAATGAGATTATTAATAGTCCATTCAGTTATCAGTCATCCATTGTGGAGTAAGTTTTCATCCTTGGATTGCTCAGTTATGGGATCTGTGTGCATGTGTGCATGTGTGTGTGTGTGTGTGTATGTGTGTGTGTGTCCTTGCGGAGAAGTGTTGGTGAGTTGACGTGTTCAATGTGTGAGATTCACTTCACTGCAACCTGGAGCCATCATTGGGCAGTTAGACATCTACACAGTATCTTAGCAGTAAACTCAATTTCTTTCATTATTTTCCCCCCAGCTTTATTGAGATATCATCGACAATACTGAGATATTGACATATATTGATACATATTGAGATAAAATAATATTGTGTAAGTTTAAGGTGTAAATATGATGATTTTTTTTTACTTTAATTATTGACAATAGGTGGAAGGTTTCTCAAACATGGATCCTTTTTTCTTTGTGCTTTAATTCTGATTTCTGTGTGGGACATAGAAGTGATCAGGGGACTTGGCCAACTTGAAAGTCCCCAGCATCAGGTGTAAGCTGCAGCGTTCTTCATTTCCCTGTCTGCTTAGCCACCCTTTTCTGCTCTTCAGAAAAGTAGCCTCGTGTCTTAGAAGTGTAAGGTCTGACATACTCTCTGGGCCTGCAGGAAGGAGCCTTCTCATCACTTGGAAGAGGCCCATCGTTAAAATGCAGTTGGGAGGCATTAGCTTTCTAGAGACAGAGGCTCTCACCCCAGGGCAAGTGGTCAGGAGATCTGGATTCATCTCCTGTGTCCACTTCGCGGCTTATGTTCTAGGGCAAAGTCACCACCCAATGTCCTTCTTCCATCTGTAATGGAGGAATGATGCTTGCTTACCTGGTTTTCTCCTCAAATGCTACGAAATATTTAGTTGTAGGTAGTGCTAATATAACTGTCTAGGGGAGGGGTTTCTGCTTTCTCTAATCCTTAACAGTAGATATTAAATGTATTTTCCTTTTCCTCTGTCTTTTATATGTATACATGCTCTCATGGGTTTTATGTATATGAAAAAAATTAATACTGGATATATCCAGTTGTTAATAATTGAAAACCGGTCTTTGTGGAGAAGGAGGAAACATGTTCTAGGTTAATAAAGCAACTACATTTTTTGTCCATTTATCATTCCATATCATGTGTTAAGCACCTACTGTCAATTATCATTTAATCCTCTTGGTATTACTATGGGGTAGGTGCTATTCTCCCCATTTTATGGATGAAGAAATAAAAAGAGAAGTAATTGGCCAGTAAGTGGCAGGCCTGGAGTTCATTCAGATTGATTGAGTTCCAAGTTTAAACTTTTTTTAAAAAGATTTTATTTATTTATTTGATAGAGAGAGAAACAGCGAGAGAGGGAACACAAGCAGGGGGAGTAGGAGAGGGAGAAGCAGGCTTCCCACTGAGCAGGGAGCCCGATGCGGGGCTCGATCCCAGGACCCCGGGATCATGACCTGAGCCGAAGGCAGACGCTTAACGACCGAGCCACCCAGGCGCCCCTCAAGTTTAAACTCTTAATCCCTCTGCTATATAGTACCCCATATTCCTGATCATGCTTGCTTATATCATGTTCTTGTAATCCTTATGTATTAGGTCTTACCATGTTTCAAATATTAGTTTTGAGGAAACCAGATCAGTGGATTCCTAAAAGATTTTTTTTTCTTTTTCTTATTTCTAGCAATATAGACATGATCTCCTTACTATATTAGTTTGGGACCTTGAATTTTTCTTGTGTTAGACCCTGAGCTTGAAAGGCCAGGAAGAGGCAAAAGATGTTCTTTTTGTAGATCTTTGGTTGGTATGGACCAGACATAAAGACTCTTGCCTTAAATAGTCCTGAACGGACAGTTTCTGGGAAGAATATTAGTGTTTGGAAATTTCATTCATTAGCAAGTATTATTGCTCGCCTGGAATATTCTGGACAATGAGTTGAATAAGACCTAGTTCCTGCCATCAAGCAGCTCATGGGTTAAGGGTCAATAGGGAGAGATTTTGTCTTGACTTTTATCATTTATGAAGAGGGGAGCACAGTGTGGGGTTCCAGAACACAAGCTTTAGGTGGATGTGCAGTATTTGAATCCCCAGTGTAGAACTTACTGATACCTGACCTTGGCCAAGTGATCCTAAGCTGCTGTTTCCTTATCTGTAAGCCTTGATGATAATAGTACTTTCTTCATAGGGTTGGGGTGAAGAGTAAGGAGAGATAAACTCTGCAAAGTGCTTTGTATACTGCCTTGTGCAGAATAAGTGTATGCCGTAATTGTTAGAACCATTGTTTCTATCTTTCTTTTCTTTTTTTTGGCCTTGGGTTGTACAGTTTGACTGTGGTTGATTAATTATCATATTTTCAACATATTTAATGGAAAGGATAGAACTGTATTTTTTTTAGTTGCCAGGGTTTCAATACAATAGACAATCTTAATTTCACAGAGGGACAGCTTATATTTTTTTCTTATTAAGGCTTTTGTAGTGTTCTTGCCTCAGTTGTAATTAGTGAACAATTGACATGATAATGATAATAGGTTGTCAATAGACAACACAATAGTGTTGTCAGGCACTATTCTAAGCACTTTGTGTCCTGACTCATTTAGTTCCCATAGCAGTTTTTGGAAGTAAATTTGCTGTGTGTCTACCTAGATCTTTTTGAATGATTTACATTCTATTGGTCTTTATTAAATACATAATTTTTCAAGAAAAATTTTAATTTCCAGGAATGAATTTTAGGAATAAAAGAGTAAGCGGTGCATCATTTCCAACTTTGCTGGATTTCAGTAACAGACTTAATGTCCCAAACCTGCAATTAATTAATGCAAATTATTAATTTTGACATTATTTTGAGCAACTATATATTGAGCAGTTACCACCTGTGTGATTCAATTTGAGGCCCTGTAGAGGCGACAGAAATGAATAAAGCACATTTATCCAACAGGGCAAATATAAATGTGGGTGTCATCTAACCTGATTTCTGGTACTCTCAGGTTGGCAGTTACCCACAACAAAAGGGTGTGTTAAATTATCCACCCCTCCCCCACCCAACCCCTCCTCCAGTTCCCTGCTCTGCCCCTTGCCCTGTGGTATCACCAACTGACTTACCCAGCTACTGACCACAGAGCAACTGCAAGAGTCTTGGGGCTTCTGAACCACATTTTGGAGATCATTGATTTACTGATGACTTTTGGCTGATCTCACTGTTACATATTTTCCAGCTTTTAAGTTGATATGGTAAGAGGAAGAGATCAATCAGAAAGGTAACATTTTTACATTTGTTGAAAATACTAGATGGAGTTTGTTGGGTTTTGGTGAAATTAGGACTTGGCTCTATTTAAGTAAGAATGATGTTTATGGCTGCTTCTCAGAAGATAGGAAAACCTAATTAGAGATAATACAATAATTTCTGAAGAATGAACCAGGATAGTAATAGATAAGTTCCTTAGGATGGTAACCTCCTTTTTTTGAAAGAACTCCCTTAAATTATTGCCTATACCCTTCTACTGTCCTTGTGAGGGAGAATTTGAGATCCAGAGAGGTTAAGTGACTTGCCTGGGGCAAAAAACAGGTCAGCGACAGTCCAAGTCAGTGTCCAACACCTGGTGGATTCTAGCTCTTTTATGGCAAAATAATCATGCTAATTCCCTAGTTATAATGTATATTCTAGTGTGCCAAGTGGTTTCACATCATTTCATGAACATTGCATAGCCCTGGCAGATAGATATTTATTAATAAATCTGTTTTGTAGATGTGAAAGTGGAGCCTCAGGGAGGGTCAGTGATTTGTTCACATTTGGAGTGAATTATGTAGCATATCTTAGACCTAAATCCACATCTTTTGACCCTTTTTTTGGATAGTACTTTGTCCCTGTACTATGGTTTCTCTTCTACACTAGGGGGCAGCAATGCACTTGTAGTTGCTTTCTGAATTCTGGGCAGATGCATTCCAAGTAGAAGGCAATGACTTAGAGTTCGTGGGGAAGGTGTTCTAGAATCTTGTATTTTAAAAGATACGTATTTGCCTACAGCTTATTTTCTTTTTTACATATACCTACTCTATCCACATTGACACTGACATAGAAATGGTTATTATAAACAACATGATACATGTAGAGGGAATGAGCTGGAACCAGGGCATGAATTTGGTGTACTGGGTGAATAGTCTGCATAAAATTGTCAAACCAAAGTCCAGGCAATTCTTGAAAGTTTGAAGGAAAACTCGAGATATTGACCATATGTGTTAATTTAAAAATTTAAGGTTCAGGTTTAGATATTTTATTTTTATTTTTTTAAGATTTTATTTATTTATTTGACAGAGAGAGACACAGCAAGAGAGGGAACACAAGCAGGGGGAGTGGGAGAGGGAGAAGTAGGCTTCCTGCTGAGCAGGGAGCCCAATGAGGGGCTCGATCCCAGGACCCCCGAATCATGACCTGAGCCGAAGGCAGACGCTCAACGACTGAGCCACACAGTCACCCCAGATTTAGATATTTTAGATACTTAACTAAAATATCTAAACCTGAACCTTAAATTTTAAAATATATATGTATATGTATGTGTATATATATCTACACACACATACATACATACCCCTTTAGGATCCATGGGTTTTAGATACAATAATATTTTAATGAGGCTTTGGCATTTCTTTTTTTTTTTTTTAAGATTTTTATTTATTTATTCATGAGAGACAGAGAGAGAGAGAGAAGCAGAGGGAGAAGCAGGCTCCCAAAGGAGCAGGAAGCCCAATGCGGGACTCGATCCCAGGACCCTGGGATCATGACCTGAGCCGAAGGCAGATGCCTAACCATCTGAGCCACCCAGGCACCCGAGGTTTTGGCATTTCTAATAGTCAACCTCAACAAAGTTCCAGTGAACCCTCTTCATGCCAACTTTGTGCTGTAAGATAGTGATTCTCTGTGGGAGGGGAGGTTGGGGTATGTCAGGATCGCTTGGGGAGCTTTTCAAACCACACATATAAACGCAGAGCACACACACGCCTGCACACTCCTGCAGATGTAATGTGTATGTACACACACACACAACTGACCCTTGAACAACACAGGTTTGAACTGTGTGAGTCCAGTGGGCTTTTTACAGTACAATGCTATATTTTCTCTAGCTTATTTTATTGTAAGAATACAGTATATAATACACATAACCTAAAAAATGTGTGTTAATTGACTCTTTATATTATTGGTAAGGCTTCTGGTCAGCAGTAGACTATCAGTAATTAAGTTCTTGGGGAGTCAAAAGTTATATGTGGATTTTTGACGGCATGGCAGGGACAGCACCCCTAACCTCCGCATTGTTCAAGGGTCCACTCTACTAAATTCTAGCAAGGATTTTAGAAAAAAACAAATGTCTATGGTTGAAGAATATTTTTCAGAAATACAAAGAGCCACAGCAAATAAAAGTGTAATTTTGCAACATGCTCCAGATCCTTCTCAAGGGACACCATTGTCCTCCAGTAAACACTTCGTCCTTGTGAAAAGGCCAGGACGAGTGACTGGGAGCAGGTGCATGTGTGTCAGCCTGTGTGTGTTTGTGTGTCCCTCCTCTTCAGTGCAGTTGCTGGAACTGCCAGGTATGCCTTGGACAACGCATGTGATGCTTCATGAACTGTATTCACGATTCTTATTGCCTTGTTTCATTGATCTAATCCCCTTGTGTTTCCCAGAACATCTCGCTTTGCCTCATTCCCTGAATACTTGGTAGTGCAGATAAAGAAGTTCACTTTTGGTCTTGACTGGGTTCCCAAAAAATTTGGTAGGTATCTTTTGCATGCTTTCGCTTAACACATCAAATTAGCCATTGGAACAAAATGGCGTGTGAAGGGGCCCGTGTGGTTGGCTGTCAGAAATCGTTCCATTTCATTCTTTTTCCATCATCCCCACCTTTCTCTTTTGAGTCAAGAGTATATGATATGCACTGACAATGAAAATCACCCCATGTTACCCACCCCTCTAATAATGCGTGCTGGAATGACTGGACTCTAAGAGTGAAAATGGGATCCCCATGTTATCAAATCAACAATGCTTTCCAAACTTTAACATGCATACAGATTACCTGGGATCTTGGCAGAATGCAGGTGCTAATTCAGCAGGTCTGGGGGTGGGGAGGGCTGGGATTCTTTATTTCCCACAAGCTCCCCGATGATACTGATGCTGCTGGTCCAAAGCCCGCACTTGGAGTTGCATGTGAAGATACATGCTCCCCTTACTAGCTCTCCTTGGCCTCCGAAGCAGGCAGGTGTGGCTAATGACAGTCTCTTACATCATGCAAATTTTATTAATAATAAAATGAGTATAGTCAGTTGCTTTAAATCGTCAAAAAAGAGATTTGACTTGGGTTTCACTGGGCTATTTTCCTGCTAATTTTCAAGGCCCTTGACCATTGTGAGAGATTAGAGTTTTCCAGGCAGTGTTTAAGAACCTTTTCTCCATCATCAGGATCCAACATCAAGGTGTTACTAGGCTGTCCTCCGTGCCACGGAAGGACACATTTCTCAAGCAAGTACCTCAGACTGTGTGCCAGGCTTTTAAAGGTTTTATGTTTCTGAGCACTTAAAAAACAACCCAGGCCTTACACTGGTTAATTAAGCACTCACTGGCTCATCTGGAGAGGTCAGGTAAAAAGAACGTAAAATCGGCTGGTTTCCCTGGGAACCTCCAGCACTCAGTTGACACGGCACTTGTTTGCCATGTGACAGGATGGGGGGCTGTGACTGATTCTGCAGCAGATCTTCGATTTTCCTGGTGGAATGATTTTGTGGGCAGGATGATCATCACTCAGCCTTTTCTCTGTGGACCTGAGAAGTACCTGAGAGAGAAAACTGCTTTTTTCTAAAGGCTTTCACCTGCTTTGGAAACAGCGTTCTTATTTTTCTCTGTCCTTGGAATTTCCGTAAAGGATAAAAAATTCAGATCAGATTTCATAGACTTGCTGAATTTAAAGGAGCCTCAAAGCTCACTTTAATGAACCTGAATTTCTCTGTGGAGAACAGTTGTATTGATTTTGTGGGTCAGACAGTATGTTTTTGCTGTCCCCTGAGATTGAAAATAATTTTTTTAACTAAGCTTTTTCTTTGGGTTGTTGTTTTAAAATAGGATTTGTGTACCTGGCATCATAACTGGTTTTGGGGATAGTATTTTCAAGTTCTGTTTGCTAGCCCGGGAGACCTATCCCACATCAACATTTGGACCCATTTCTCATTATTATCGTATCTGAATATAACACTAAATCTCAACAGCCTTTTAGACCGATAAATTTTGTATTTGATTAAGTCAGCACAATAACAACTGACCCGAGAAGTTAAAAAAAATTTCCTAAGACTAATACACTTGAGAATGAATTTATTTCTTTAAAACTTCATTCTTTATTACCTCGGTGAGAATGATCACAGTGCCCATCATGATCTGAGAAAAGGCGTAATCTAGGGCCTGCAAATTCAACTGCCTCATATGGACAGGGGGATAATGTAAATGACAGGAGCACATTGGATATAAGAAATGTGTAGCCTACCTATCTTGGTCTTTATTGGATATTTCCACTTTGGATAAAGACGTGGCTTAGAAAAACATTTTTTTACCATAAGAATCAGAATCGCAATATGATGCTCAGGGTCATGGGGGCAGTTGGGAGCAGTGGGGTCTGTGCCCTACACTGTCTAGAGTGGAAGCTGAAGATCAGCCCCAGGGCAGTTGTTACCATATGAGAATATTTATTTTTCAAAATAAGCTGGAAATACAGGTTTTTAAATGAAATCTTCTGATTTAAAAATTGGAATTTGTTGCCAACATTTTAAAAACATCAGACATTCTGTTTGCTGCAGTTGGTCTTTGGGCTCTCAGGTTGCAAACTCTGGCTTACCTCTGGCTTGTTCAGTGTGAAATGCTCTGTACTTTCCCCCTGCTTCTCCATTAAATCTAGCTAGTCTCAGTGAGTCTACTGGTCCAGGGATCTACTCCAGGGGACTGAAAGCACCGCTCAGTTCTGCCTAGACACATGCACATGAGTTAGAGGTGCTGGTTTTAGGGGGTGATTGTGTGTTTTTGGAGAGTCTGGTGAATGTAATCTCTCTCACTTTGTAGATGTTTCTATTGATATGCCAGACCTACTTGATATCAACCATCTCCGAGCCAGGGGGTTACAGCCAGGAGAGGAGGAGCTTCCGGACATCAGCCCCCCTATAGTCATTCCTGATGACTCAAAAGGTACCACCGTCTGCCAGGAGGATGTTCTCTTACCCCTCTCCCCGCCCCACCCCCAAAGGAAGAGTCTTTCCTCTTCCACCAGTCTGCCGTCCCTCGGCCATCTTCTGTGTTGTAACCCATTGTAGACGCACAAGAGTGAGGCCTGGCCACAACTGTAAACTTAAGGTAGACATGGGAAGAAGCACAGACCTGTCATGAGTAGTTGAAACGGACCTGCAGAAATCACTGGCGATAGGGGGCAGCAAATCTCCAAAAAAGTTTTTAGGTTAGGTTGCATCTGGCTTCCCCTCCCTCCCTTCCTCTCCCTTCCTGCAAATAAATGGGCCTGTAGGGAAGAGAAGGAGTGTGTTTTCAGTAGACTCTCAATATTGAGGAGCTGCGTCATCTTGGGAGTGCCTCTGGACAAGCCAAAGGGGAAATTCAATAGTGTGTGTTAGTTTTAAAAATCTTGACCACATTTCACCTCCCCAGCTTTGTCACTGCTTCATAGCAAGGGTGTAGTTTGCCCTGTTAAGGCTTAATTTTTGTTCAGAATACTTAACTTTTTAAGGGAATAGGACATGCAGAAAATAATTGTTTCACTTTTGTGGATCCAAGGACAGTGTCAAAAAATCTCGGTTTCATTTTTAGCTCAGTTACTGATGCAATCATTTCACTCTGGTTTCATTTGCTCACCTGTTTACTTACTGTTCACCTTTTTAATCAGTTAATTAGGTCAATTAATAGTGATACAGCACACTGGGCTGGGCCTCTCTTCCAAAAGTTTCTCATCAGTTGAGCATTGAATATTATTGGTGACCATGTTCAGGTGCAAAAGAAGGGTAGGGTGAATCCAGGAGGATTCAAGATAGGCACCTGTGTTCCATTATTCTCAGACGTTAAGTCAGATGTTAAATTGTAGAGTATGGAGAGTAGAGAAGGGACCTGTATGTGGGACACTCTGGGTTATGTGGTACGAGGGGTCCATTAAAGGGGCCAGAGAGCAGAGATCAGTAGGAGCATCGAAGGAGTACAGGATGGTTTATTAGCACTGCTCCTGCTTTCTCTGATGTTCTTAACAGAACACTTGGTTTGTAATTATACAAAGTCCTTAGAAATACAGGGAGATAAATTATTTAGTTCATTAAGTTGATAAGCAGAGCATCATGTTTTATCTGGTTGAAATCCCTGAGACCTGTTTATTTTCACTCCGTACTGTAATGATTTCATGTTGTACAGGCTGGGTGGTGTGGGTGGTGGGGTTGCTGAGGGGTTGACAACAGTGTGGGATCCCTAGGGGTGAGGGATTAGGGATTGTCCTGCATGGACTCTTTTTCTTTCTCTAAAACTCTTTGCCATGCTTTGGTCTCATTCTCTGCCTCTCCGTTAATTTCCAGATCGCCTGATGAACCAACTCATAGACCGTATGTATCTTTCGAAATTTTTCTCAGTGTCCTGCAATTGTCATTGGTCTGACATTTATCTGTGGGAATTTAATAAAGGGGCATTGTTCTCTACATGTGTATGTGTAGCTCTACATGTGCAGCTTTTTCTGGGTGGGAGTGATTCTTTGTCTGCAAGCTGAGTTAGCAGCAAATGTAAACCAGTGACATGATGATTAAGCGGCTCTGTGGCTCAGGAGAGTGATCATCAGCATGAAAGCCAACAAGCCCCAGACTGGAAACTTGGCCCTGCCGTTTATGACTGCAAGCTAGAAAAATTTACTTAACTTCTCTGAGCCTTAGTCTCCGCATGTGTGAAGGTGGGCTCATGATGCCATTTCTTCCCACTCTGGCCACGAGTAGGGCTTTTTATGCAGTGACGGAACAGTGGCCAGGCCTTTTTTCCATTCCTGCTGCTGGACGTGTAGTGATGGCTCATGACTGACAGGACATGGTAGCATTGATTAATACTCTCAAGGTTGGTAGTGTTATTGGATTGTATGTTAATTTTATAGACTTTTAGTTCCTTAATCCTGTAGGAGTTGATACTCTTGGTTTTCTGAAAAGAACACAATAAACTATTTATGGTGAGTATTTACGTATTAATTAGGAGGAGGGGGGTGTTTAACACTAAATATTCTGAATATTTTTGTCTACAAAGCCCTTCCAGAGACAAACTATTGTTAATTTAGAAGTTCATGTGTTGGGTATTAAAGAGGGCACGTATTGAATGGAGCACTGGGTGTCATACACAAACAATGAATCATGGAACACTACATCAAAAACTAATGATGTAATGTGTGGTGATTAACATAACATAATAAAATAAAATTAAAGAAAAGAAGTTCGTGTGTTTTACATTGCAAATGATTTTTTTTTTTTTTAAAGATTTATTTATTTATTTATTTGACAGAGAGAGACACAGCGAGAGCAGGAACACAAGCAGGGGGAGTGGGAGAGGGAGAAGCAGGCTTCCTGCTGAGCAGGGAGCCTGATGTGGGGCTCGATCCCAGGAGCCTGGGATCATGACCTGAGCCGAAGGCAGACGCTTAACGCCTGAGCCACCCAGGCGCCCCTACATTGCAAATGATTGATCATGTGGCTTAGACCTCCACATTTCCTTTCCGTGGTCGATTATGATTTGTTCATTGCTAGAAGCTGTTAGGGTCAGCGAGGGTCTTGGGAAAATCATTGCCTCTGTGAATAATCTAATTATAATAATAACGGTGGTTGTTAATACTTTGGAATGGTTACCATGAGTCATACTGCGTTTATTATTTCATAAATTCTTTCAATAGTATATAACTTTACTGTTCATATAAAATCCAGATTCTCATTTGAGTATCACAGTAAGAAGGGCAGGGCAAGTAACCTTTTACAGAGTATAAAACTGAGATTCAGGAAACTTCAGAGACCCAAGAGCTGGGACCAGAACCTGGGCTGGGAGTCAAGTGTGCTTTTAACGCCGCTTGACCTTTTCTGGAATGTGAGAGGTTTGCTTGCTGCTCCTGATTCTGCAGAGAGCTGGCCTACAAATTGCTGTGGGGGAGGTGATGGGTGGTTAGCACTGACTGTGCTAGAGGAGTCTGTCTCTGACCAGGAGCACTCAGCTGGTTTCCAGGGTTCATGGTTTGGCCATTGATTTCCTCCCAGATCTAAGCCTGCTGTCTTATCAGCAACTACCTGTACTCAACAGGAGAAAATAGAATTATCTGGGATTGTTTAACATTTGCATCCTACCTTTCTCAGATTTTTAAAGAACAACTTTAATTATTTTCTTATTATGAGAGTAAAAAGATACTTACAAACTATGGGTTAGCAGTAAGAGTCATTTATGGTTTCATCACTCATCTATAACCATTGTTAACACTTGGCCTATATCTTTCCACTGGCCTTTGCCTGTGCCTGGTTCACTTTATTTTTCACAAAAATGGAATTATATGTTTTCAATCTAATATGTTATTAGAGACACACATAACCATTTATTGAGCTGCACTTCCTAAATTGCATTGTAGGGAACATGAGAGTCTTACAAGATGTTGAAAGGTGTTCTGTAGAAAGAGTTTCCTAGCTTCCTTAACTGTAGGAGTCTTTATGACAGGATTTTTGAGTCTTCACTATGCTAATGCACATTGTGAATTTCTAAGGGGAGAATAGAGAATGTGGATTTTAAGCTTCTTTGGCCATGGAAATCCCTTGTTTTGTGATTCAATAATGACATTTCTCTTAGAACATCAGGCTATCATAGAACACAACTTGGGAATCACTGCTGTCCTAAATCATTGCTTTCTTAAAATTTGGTCTTGAAAGGATGTTGTCTGTATCTTCCTTGTAAGAGAGAAGTTTGATGAACACCTTTTCTTTTTCTTTTTAGAAAGAGAGAGTGCTGGCTGGGGGTGGGGGGGGTTGGTGAGAGGAGGGGCAGAGGGAGAGGGAGAGAGAGAATCTTAAGCAGGCTCCATGCCCAGTGTGGAGCCCGAGGCGGGGCTTGATCTCATGACCCTGAGATCATGACCTGAGCTGAAATCAAGAGTCAGATGCTTAACTGACTAAGCCACCCAGGCGCCCTGGTAAACACATTTTCAATGTAGTTTTTATAGAACAGATATCTCTAATCCTCAGTTCTATTGCTCCTATTCAGTTCTACTAATTGCCGTCTTTGGCAGAGTTTTCAGTACATACAAGCACACATATGTATATACACGTACAAATGTGTATACACAAAACATAACAGGTGTATGTGTATATACACACATATACATGTGTATTATAAAACATGTATATGTGTATGTACACACACGTACATGTATATACACACATGCCTATATGTTTTTATGTATATTTTGTACATTATGTATACATACATACATGTGCTTATATGCATCCACATATACATACACATACGCATACATTTCCACCAATATCTACATATCATTATGAAAAGAAAAGAAAACAAAACAAAACCCTCTATGTCTAGGCCCACATTAGGTTTATAAAGCTCTCTCTTTTAATATCTTAAATGTATACCATTACAGAACATATTCTTTCCTTCTGTACTTAACATTTGGGTTCTCCATTTCCCAGAGCTGATTACTTCCTTTGCTGATATACCTAAAGGCCTGGCATAACTTCCTGCGAGATTTAAGGAATAGGCTTTGGGCTTGTGGATAATGCTTTTCTCTTCAGATTTCAGTGATAGGAGAGGCCGCTGTAGGAGGGGTCTTGAGAAGGATCTGAGAAGCTGAAATGGTTCTGGGAATACACTCAATCTCCCCATATGAAATTAAGGAATTGTTTTTCAGTGCTTGGATTGCCCAGGTAATTACCGTGGTTCCAATTTAGGTCAAAGGTATTTAAGCTCAAATAGCTTAATATTTGGATGACTTCAAACAAAACAAAGTTAAACCACCATTTATACACCCCCCAAAAATAGCACTTTCTTTGGATAGCATGTGGCTAGTGGATGAGGAGAAGCTAGGACGAGGAGAAAGAGAGTTTACGTTTTAAGAGAGTTCGTGTTTTTACACCAGAGTATTCTGTTGTGCTCCGTAGCCTCAGACATTGATGAGTCATCAGTGATGCAGCTGGCTGAGATGGGTTTCCCTCTAGAAGCATGTCGGAAGGCTGTATACTTTACTGGAAATATGGGAGCTGAAGTGGCCTTCAACTGGATCATTGTTCACATGGAAGAGCCAGGTGAGTGGTTGGAAGAGGGGATAGCTTTGGAGTCTGATGCGATCTTCAGTGATGCTAAGCCTTGGTCCTTCGATGTCCTCTGAATGGGTCCCAGAAAATGACATTTAACTCATAATTTAGCTTCTTAGCTTGCTTTTTTCTGCCCCTCATAATTTACACTTTCAGCTCACTTTTTCTCTGCTGCAATGCGGGAGGGGCACTTTGCTTGTGGCACAAAGTCACAATGTTCATCTTTACTCTTTTTTTTTTTAATAATAGCTTTCTTGAGATATAATTCACCCTTTTAAAGTATATAATTTAGTGGCACAAAGACCACTGGAAAGATATGGGATATACAGGCACATGTCAGAGATGTTGCTAGCTCAGTCCCAGACGACCACAGTAGAGTGAGTATCACGATAAAGTGAGTCCAATGAATGTTTTGGTTTCCAGTGATGTTTGCACCATACTGTAGTCTATTAAGTGTACAATAGCATTGTGTCTAAAAATGTACATACCTTAATTGAAAAATACTTTGTTTTTGCAGCATCAATTGACTCTTCCTTTCACAAATGGTTGCTTTATAGCATGCGATGTTATTTGATGGAATTTCTCTCACAGTAGAACTTCTTTGAAAATTGGAGTCAATCCCCTCAAACCCTGCTGCTGTTTTATCAGTTAAGTTTATGTCATATTTTAGGTCTTTTGTTGTCATTTCAACAATCTTCATAGCATCTTCACCAAGAGTAGATTCTATTTCAAGAAACCACTTTCTTTGCTTAGCCATAAGAAGCAACTGTTCATCTGTTAAAATTTTATCAGGAGATGGCAGCAACTCAGTCCCTCCTTCAGGCTCCACTTCTAATTCTAGTTCTCTTGCTATTTCCACCACATCTGCATTGACTTCCTCCACTGAAGTCTTGAACCCCTCTAAGTCACCCATGAAGGGTGGAATCTTCTTCCAAACTGCTGTTAATGTTGATATTTTGAGCTCTTTCCTATGCATCACAAAATGTTCTTAATGGCATCTAGAATGGCAAATTCTTTCCAGAAGGCTTTCAGTTTACTCTGCCAGATCCATCAGAGGAATCTGTGGCAGCTACAGCCTTACAAAATGTATTTCTTAAATAGTAAGACTTGAAAGTTGAGATCACTCCTTGATCCATGGGCTGCAGAATGGATGTTGTGTTAGCAGTCATGAAAGCAACATCAATCTCACTGTTCATCTGCATCAGAAATCTTGGGTCACCAGGTGCATTGTCAGTGAGCAGTCATATTTTGAAAGGAATTTTTTTTTCTAACCAGTAGGTCTCAATAGTAGCTTAAAATATTCAGTAAACTGTGTTATAAACAGATGTGCTGTCATCCAGGCTTTGTTGTTCCATTTCTAGAGCAGAGGCAGAGTGGATTTAGCATAATTCTTAAGGGCCCAAGGATTTTTGGAATGGCCACTGAACACTGGCTTCAACTTAAAGTCACCAGCTGCACTGTTCCCTAACAAGAGAGTCCAACTGTCCTTTTATGCTTTGAAACTAGGCATTGACTTCTCCGCTCTAGCTCTGAAAGCCCTAGATGGCATCTTCTCCCAATAGAAGGCTATTTTGTCTGCATTGAAAATCTGTTGTTTGGTGTAGCCAGTGTCTTTATTTACCTTAGTTAGGTCTTCTGGGTAACTTGCTGCTTCACCTTGTACCTTTATGTTATGGAGACAACTTCTTTCCTTCAACCTTGTGAGCCTTCCCAGCCTTTGTAGATTGAAGAGAGGGAGGGCTTTGCTCTAGACTAGATTTTGGTTTCAAGGAAATGTTGTGGCTGGTTTGATCTTCTGTCTAAACCACTAAAACTTTCTCCATATCAGCAGTGAAGCTGCTGTGCTTTCTTATCATTGGTGTGTTCACTGGAGGAGCACTTTTAATTTCCTTTAAGAATTTTTCCTTTGCCTTTACAATTTGGCTGTTTGGCATAAGTGGTCTAGCTTTTGGCTTATCTCAGTTTTCAGTATGCCCTCCTCTCTAAGATTAATCATTTTAGCATTTGAGTTAAAGTGAGAGGTGTGTGACTCTTGCTTTTGCTTGAACATTCAGAGGCCATTGTATGGTTATTAATTGGCCTAATTTCAATATTGTGTCTCAGGGAATAGGGAAGCCCAAGAAGAGGGAGACATGGAAATGGCTGGTCAGTGGAGTAGTCAGATGACACACAACATGTGGATTAAGTTTGCTGTCTTATATGGGTGTAGTTTGTGGTGCCCCCAAATAATTACCATAGTAACATAAAAGACCACAGATCACATAATATACTAATAATGAAAAAGTTTGACATACTGTGAGAATTACCACAATGTGACACAGAGTCATGCAGTTAGCAAAAGTTGTTGGAAAAATGGCACCAATAGGCTTGCTTGACAAAGAGTGGCCACTAGCCTTCTATTTGTAAAACGTGCATTATCTGCAAAGTGCAATCACTTTTTTACATTCTGCCACAATGTGTAAGGGTTCCAGTTTCTCCACATCCTCACCAACCTTTGTTGTTATTGTTTTTATTATAGCCATTCCAGTGGATGGGAAAGTGGTAGCTCATGGTGGTTTTCATTTGCATTTCCCTGACGACTAATGATGTGTAGAGCATCTTTCCCTGTGCTTGCGGGTAATTTATGTCTCTTTGGAGAAATGTCTGTTCAAATCTGTTGCCCGTTTTTAAGGAAGTTATTTGTCTTTTTATTGTTGAGTGTTCTTTTCATATTCTGAATATAAGCACCTTACCAGATACATAATGTGCAAGTTATGTTCTCTCATTCTGTGAGTGTTTTCACTTTCTTGATGGCGTTTTTTGAAGCACAAAAGCTTTTAATTTTGATGAAGTTGAATTTATCTGTTTTTCTTTTGTCACTTGTGCTGTTGGTGTCATATCTGAGAAACATTGCCTAACCCAAGGTCTCTCGCATTGAGGTCAGGGAGCCGTTTTGAGTTAATTTTTGAATATGGCCTGAGGTGGGCGTCCACCTTCATTCTCTTGCATGTGGACTTGTACTTGTTCCAGCACCATCTGTTGAGAAGACTGCCCCGACCCCATTGGAATGGCCTCGGTACCCTTGTCAAAACTCAGTTGACCATAAATCTGCGGGTTTATTTTTGGACTCTGAATTCCATTCAGTTGATCTATAGGTTTATCCTTATGTCAGTACCAACTGCCTTCATTATTATAACTTTTTAGGTGTTTTTCCTTTTAACTCCATGGTGTTGTTTATTTCAAGACTAAAAAAAGTAAAAGGTCTGAGTGTGATTCTCTTCCCCAGATTTTGCTGAACCACTGACCATGCCTGGTTATGGAGGAGCAGCTTCTGCTGGAGCCTCTGTTTTTGGTGCTACTGGATTGGATAACCAACCTCCGGAGGAAATTGTGGCTATCATTACCTCCATGGGATTCCATCGAAATCAGGCTGTTCAGGCGCTACGAGCCACGGTGAGCACGTGAGACTGTGTGTGACAATACCCTCCTCTTCCTGGAGTCGGTGTGTATTTCTTTCAGTAGCGGTGGAGATTTTCCAGTGTCCTTTGATCATTTTGAATCTTGTCTGTCTCACCCTGTACCCCACCATGGCCCACAGAGATTTATTTGCATATATTCTACGTACAGCTAAAATAAATGATTGGGGGAAATTATACAGTTTAAGAATAGGGAGTAAAAAAAAAAAACCTAGGGAGATAATTCAGCTGGGGCAAGATGAAAGAAACCGAAAGACCAAAACCAAATGAAACTCCCTATCATCTGAGTGTTTATTATTAGCAGGGCTCCACGATTTGACTTGGAACTTCCTTGTGGCCTTGGAGTGGAGAGGGATGCATGAGACTCCATGTTCAATAAAGCAGTTCTTTAGGACAAATTTTGCTTTTCTGATACCAAGACCTTGGAGAAATGTCTCTCAGAAGTCCTCATAGAGAAGACTGAACAGCTCTGGGAATTCTCCACTTTTGTGACTGTGGAGGGAGAAGATTCTTCTGGTATTCATGTACTTCCTGATGTTATTAGGAGAGAAGGGACCGTGAAACTAGAGGGTAGATAGAAGTCTTCCTCTTTCAGTGCAGATGTTTGTTTAATATTGAAGGGAAGTTCTTGTTTTGTTTTTTTTTAAACCATCCTTTCTTGCCACACCGTATGTGTTTTTGAGTGGATGTCTGCTACTAATTCCTGCTTACCTAATGTCCTTAGGATGTCCTTACTAATTCCTGACCCGTTGCCTGTGAGGGTCCATTGTTGAGGGCATAGCAGCTCTCAGCTGACTCTGGGAGTGTGGCTAGAACAATCCGTTTCCCTTTAATGTGCTTGAACTATCTCAAGCAGACTTAGTTTCATTCAGGGTACTTGCTTTGCCCCACTTATTTTTCTTGACTGACTTTTCATTGGCGATTCTGATGATGTCTAAGTAAATTTTTTAACCTGCCTGTGATATCACAGAGGAAGATGGCAATGTTTTTAGTCAATTGGTTTGAACTGCAGAGTTAAGTTTAAAACAATGTACCTAACTAACCAGTATTGTCATCATCAATCAAGGCATTAACCTTGTCTCTACTGCAGTTCAAGAATTCTGCTAATGTTTAGGGAGAGGACGCATTAACACGACTCTCACGTTGGCCCCCCTGCCCGGCATAGTTCTCTGCAGAAAACACAGGTGATAGGGAATGTAGCATGTGCAGTTAGTATGGCCGAGAAAGGGCTGTATTAAACAAATGGCAGACTCTTTGGTGTTCCGTACCCCATCATTAGCATCAGCCTGCAGAAATGCTGAGCTCAGATGGATACGGACTTTGGAACGCTGGTCTGCTGCTCAGAACTGTTTTCTAGTGAATCCAATTACAGACCTCAGTTGGGAGACTCGGAGAATGCCCACTGAATGTGCATTTCATATGCAGGGTCAGAGCTTTGCACTCAGAGGCACTTAGGACTAATGAATTCAGGCCGCCTGTCTTATCTGCTTAACTCTCTGGTTCAAGTGGTCAGGATTTAATGAGACCCTGGGACTGCTTACATTGTAAAAATGTTTTATTTTATTAGAATAATAACCTGGAAAGAGCACTGGATTGGATCTTTAGTCACCCTGAGTTTGAGGAGGACAGTGACTTTGTGATCGAGATGGAGAATAACGCCAATGCCAACATTATTTCTGAGGCGAAGCCTGAAGGACCTAGAGTCAAGGATGGATCTGGAAGTAAGTTCTTGCCTTAGGGATTGTCTGAGCAGTTGTGACCATACATTCGGCCCATGCCCTTCCCTCCCACCACTCATCTTAAAACCTTTGCCATCATCCAATAGTTAGCACAGATCCTACCTTCTTGTAAATGGTGCATTTTGCCACTTTGCATGGCCATGGTGATCTGAAGAAGTCTGGGACAAACTCAGAGTCATGTTGCCTAGAAGTGTGTGCGTGCTTACTTCTAGTCCTGCTGTCACTTTGCCATTCCTTTGAGATACTTTTTTTTTCATGGACCATAGAAGTTTTTGTCCAAAAGAGAACATTTACTTTCATGGTAGTATTTTTTTTTTTTTTTGAACGGCTGAAAAACAGCCTTATATCCTTGACCCTGTCATTGACCATACCAGCTGCTGATAATTTTCTGAAGGGCCAATCAAGATGGCAGGAAGAGGCACCAACAGCCAGTCATCTACCTTTTTTTTAAGTTTTTTTTTTTTTTAGTAATCTCTACACCCAATGTGGGGCTCGAACTCACAACCCCAAGATCAAGAGTCGCATAGCTGTCTACCTTTTATCAGCAAACACATATGTGTCACTGTGCACCAGGCACTGGTTCTAAGAACTTTGCATATGAACTCTGATTTAGTCTTTAACACGTCTCTTGTCCATGGGAGAAAACAGAGGCACAGAAAGATTAGGTACCTTGCCCAAGGTCACACAGCTCGTACAAGTTGGAGCCAAAATTCAAATCCGGAATCCCATGTTCTTCCCCATTGTGATGCCCTGCTTCTTGGGCTGTCACTGCCTCCGGAAAGTGTTTCGGCTTGTTAGCCTGGTATTTGTCACCTCCTCCAGGCAGATGCCAATGTGCCTCGTCTTTCAGTGTTATTTCTTCTGGTCCTCCCCACCCCAGCTCAGACACCTGGGACCATAGCCACACCAACAGCCCCATCGGGGCACTAACCTCCTTCTTCCTACTTCTAGGCCTGTGCTCAGGTTAATCCTTGATTGTGAAATGCCCTTTCTCTCTCATCACTGCACACTAAAATCCTTACCATTATTCACAACTTGGCCACAGATTCCATTCCACAGATTGCTCTCCCAGAGCCTTCAGAACGAGTGCTTCCGTATCTCATGCTAGTGATAATTATACCAACATTAACAATATTTCCATTTATGCCACATTTAATCCTCACAATAATCCTATGAGGTGTAGATATCATTATTATCTCCATTTTATAGGTGAAGAGACTGAGGTAGAAGAGAAGGTTAAGTTTGTTAAGGTTACATAGCTAGCTAGTGATGGGTAGAATCAGAATTCCAACCTGGGTAGTCTGCCTCCAGAGCTTGTGCCTGAAGCCCCTAAGATGTAGTGTTTATTCTTCTGTTATTAGAAGTATCAAATTCAGGGGTGTCTGGGTGGCTCAGGTGGTTAAGCGTCCAACTCAGGTCATGATCTCAAGGTCATGAGATCAAGACCTGTGTTGAGCTCCCACTCAGCAGGGAGTCTGCCTGAGATTTGCTCTTTCCCTCTGCCCCTTCCCTGCTCGTGCTCTTTCTCTCTCAAATAAATAAATAAATCTTAAAAAAAAAGAAGTATCCAATTCATCTTGCAATAAAATTATTTATTTGTTTATTTTTAAAAGATTTTATTTATTTATTTGACACAGAGAGAGAGACAGCGAGAGAGGGAACACAAGCAGGGGGAGAGGGAGAGGGAGAAGCAGGCTTCCTGCTGAGCAGGGAGCCCGACGTGGGGCTCGATCCCAGGACCTTGGGATCATGACCTGAGCCGAAGGCAGACGCTTAACGACTGAGCCACCCAGGCTCCCCGCAATAAAATTATTTATGTAAATATTTGTGTTTCCTATTTGGAACTTGTGAAGGGCAGATACTATTTTACTTTTATAAGGCTCATGGTGTCTAACACATAGAAAGTACCAAGTAAAAAATAACTGGATTTAATTAAATTTACATTTGGAGGGGTGCCTGGGTGGCTCAGTTGGTTGGACATCTGACTCTTGATTTCAGCTCAGGTCATGATCTGAGGGTCAGGAGATCAAGCCCCATGTCAGGCTCTGTGCTGGGCATGGACCCTGCTTGAGATTCTCTCCTTCTCCCTCTACCCCTCCCCCTTGTGCTCTCTCAAAAAAAAAATTTTTTTTTTACATTAGCAGCATTTGTTCCAGTAATCATATAGCTGTAGTTCTCATTAATAGTCTACTCATTATCAATCTTACCAGATCTAAAATGTATGTATTGATCTACCTCTAGAGACAGAGGGTGGGAGGGAAACTTTCTTCTTTTATATAAAACAGGAATTTCTTCACTGAAACTGTCATAATCCTGACTGGGTAAAAAAAAGATGAGATATAGTTCTCCCAGCTTCCATATTCATCTAAATGGTCTTGTATTACTTTTTGGAAATCAGTGACTTGCCTAAAATATTAAAAGCTGTAATGGATGTTATTGAATAATTCATCAGCAGGATTTATTATGTGTTACATGTCTCGGTTCACTGCTTCCTTGATTTTCTGTAATGGACTTTTCTTTGGTGATGGGGAGTCCTCCTCACAGAAGGAATAAACCACATGATGGGGCCATTGTAAAGCTGCCAAGATCTATGGTTGTAGAAAGAGGGTGAGTCTGATCATTAGGTTTTCCTGTTTTCTGATGGAGCTTGGAGAGACCAGCCACTCTCTTGAAGATGGTCATTAATGATATGGAGTAGCCACATCATCCCCTTGGGCTTACTGAACTCAGAGTGATCTTCCGGTACTCCTGGCCCTGCTGGTTTTTGAGTTGCATCCTTGAATGGGATGTCACGATGATGCTTTCAAGCACCCTTTAATTTAAAGGCACTACGGGCCAAACTCAGCAGACTCACTCTTCACTGCCTCCACATTTAGGGTGAAGGTGGAGAAAGAGACAGAGATGCACTGTGAGACATCAAGTATAGGATATACTGAAGCTAAGAGCAGTGGTAGGTGAAAATTTTAATTATCAAAAACCAAAGAGCGTAACCCACCCTAACTCACCAAATGCATTTTGTATCTGATTTTTAAGAGGAATGGATGTTTTTAAACATCCAGCATTAATACCTCAAAAATAGAAGGAAGGAATTCCTTCCTTTCCAGCACTGTGCCTTGTCCACCAGAGGTGATCAGAAAATGAATGATTGAATGAAGAATGGATGAAGATCAGGAGGTAGTGGTCACAGGGATAGTTTTGTGCTGACTCCACGAAGTGCCAGATGGAGGAATTGGGAGTGCACTATTTTGCATTACATTGCGTAAGTCACAGGAAAGGAAAAAGGTGATTTCTTGTACTTTGCTGCATTAGCACCTGAACTCATATGTCAGTCACTTCTTTTTTTTTTAAATTAACGTTTATATTATTTTTCTTATAATTAAAAAGGTATTTAATAATTTTAGTAACTTGAGAAAATGCAGATATATGAGAAGAAAATAAAAATTACTTCCAAGTAATTCCCAGTCATAGCCACTGTTAATGTCTTGTGTATATTCTTTAAGCCTTTCTATGCAAATATACAATGAATATAAATATGAATATTTATAAAAATAAAACATTCTATTCTATACATGCTATTTTTTTAAGATTTTATTTATTTATTTTAGAGAGAGAGAGAGAGAGAGCACAAGCAGGAAGGGTAGAGGGAGAGGGAGAAAGAATCTCAAGCAGACTCCATGCTGAGCAAGGAGCTGGAGGCTGGGCTTGATCTCATGACCCTGAGATCACGACCTTGAGCCAAAACCAAGAGTTGGCCACTTAACCGACTGAGCCACCCAGATGCCCCTATACATGCTATTTTATAAATGCTATTTTATAACCTACTTCTCCCTAACTGTGGATATACATATTTGTATGTCTAGATCACTGAATGTATATTAATAATATCCCATTGTATAGTGGTACCATAATTTACATACCTGATTTTAGGCCAACTAATTTTTTTTAAATAAAGGATGATTACAGAAAGTTTCAGATAATGGGGCTATTTTTACATTCAGAAGATTACAGCAATTATTATTATTATTATTTTAAAATATTTTATTTATTTATTTGAGAGAGAGGAGAGAGAGCACAAGCAGGGGGAGGGGCAGATGGAGAGGGAGAGGGAGAAGCAGACTCCCCACTGAGCAGGGAGCCTGATGTGGGGCTCCATCCCAGGACCCTGGGATCATGACCTGAGCTGAAGGCAGACACTTAACCGACTGAGCCACCCAGATGCCCAACAGCAATTATTTTTAAATAATAAATTTCTTAAAGGATGAATTCTGTTGACAGAAGTACAGCAAATGCCTCCTTTATCCTTATCCAGGTAATAAACATTTGTTCATCATTTAAGTTTCTCTTTTTTGTCCTCTTTCCCTTTTTCTCTATTAAAAATGACACCGTAATGAACATTCTTGGGCCCTCATTTGATTCCTTCCTTAGCATAAGTTTCTAGAGGTGAAGTCTCTGAGTCAAAATTGCCTATTTTTTAAAAATTTTGTTTTGTTATGTTACGTTAGTCACCATACATTACATCATTAGTTCTTGATGTAGTGTTCCATGATTCATTGTTTGTGCATCACTCCCAGTGCTCCATGCAGAACGTGCCCTCTTTAATACCCATCACCAGGCTAACCCACCCCCCCACCGCCCTCCCCTCTAGAACCCTCAGTTTGTTTCTCAGAGTCCATTGTCTCTCATGGTTCGTCTCCCCCTCTGATTTCCCCCCACTTCATTTTTCCCTTCCTACTATCTTCTTTTTTTTTTTCAAAATTTTCTATTTTTGAGGTATTAATGTGTATTATTACATCCCCCCCACCGAAAGGCAGCTTTGGTGGCTCTCCTGCTCTCCCAGTCCTCCACCAGTGTGGTCAGGCTGAGTACTCTCCTTATTTTTCATATATTTATTGGCTGGTTGTTTTTCTTCTTGTGTTAATCACTTCCTCATTTTGTTTGGTCCATTTTCCCATTTTTATTGAGGTTTCCATCTGTTTTTTATT